CCGCCTCCTCTTTGATGTCCGAGCATCAAGCAGACTGTGTCCTCTGTGCTGCAACTGTCAGTGAATGGGGCAGCAGACAAGGGCGGTCATCCCCGGTCCCGCCCTCCTCCTTTCCTCTCTCTCTCTCCATTTCCCTGTCTCTCTCTCCTTCTCTTCTTTCTATCTCCTCAGTTTGTTTTTGGTGATTGTAACTTAAGGCCCGTCACCGTAACTTGTTACATTGTAAACAAAACTAAAAGAGATCAATTGGAATAAAATGTTCATATGGGGAAGGAAGCAAGAGAAGAGATTTATATGAATATAAATATATATATATATATATATATAAAATATATATGAAGTTGATAATCAATCCACTTAACTTTTCTTTATCAGGTAAGTTCTGCAGGCAGCTTTGCTTCCTGTGCCATGTGAAGGGCCCTCCATATAAATACTCCACATTCAGAAGTCATAAGAACACAAGCCCCCTCCGATGAAGCTGCTGTGTGTGTTTAATGATCATTAATAAATAAAAAGTGCTTGGATGGGTTACCATAACTTACCGCATGCAGTTATTTGCAGCGTGCATGACCTTTGATGACCCCCCCTCCCCCTCCCCAACCCACAATCGAAATTTTGTACTTTTTTGGTTTTCTTTAAAGGTATCCCAAAGCTTTCGATTCTTGCAAACGGTTACATCGAATATAGCTTAAGTAGCATACCGACTGACTGGCAGACATCAGCTTCTTGACTGTCTTGTTAGGGTTTTTTTTATTTTCTTTTTTCCCATCGAGTATTTCGAAATGGAGAAACTACTGGGATCTGAAGAAAACGCCGCGATTTGAGAATCCAGTTTGACTTTTCTGTATTACGGCTACAGATGCGAAAGCCAAGAATGTAAGAAAGGAGCTTTGCCTCTCTAGATGTTAATCTTTCGTTTGAAGATTTTAAAGCACAGTAGAGGTTTTAATTTATGGACGACTTGATCCGGTGCTCCTCCGCTCTGCTCGTGTCACACCACATGCTTTCAAAGGCTTGTTTGACTTTTGCTGGAGCTTCATTTCTTTTTTTTTTTCCCTCCCTCCTCCATAACTCAACTCTTTTTGTTTGTTTGTTTTCTGGTTAAAGCTAGCACTTTCTATTTATTTATACCTGTTTTTATGATTTGTTTGAGCCTTGACACGGATCATGCCACCTTCATGCCTCTACTTTTACCCTCTGTAAAGAAATGTACATTAATTTCTTTCTTCTTTTTTTTTGCGTTAACTTTCATAATGATTCTATGACATGGGCAGACTTTTTTTTAAATGTAAATTTAGATTACAATAAATATGGCACACATCTTTTGATGGAAGTGAAAACCTCCGTTCTTTTGCACATTGTCTTTTTTCATATTTGTTTTGTTAAAAGTAATTTGGTAAACTTCCTAAACTTAGGGGATGGTCTTATTAGCTTTTCAGATACCACTATTTTGAAAATGAATAGTTATGCATTTCAAATGCTTGTCGCTCAAAGATCAAAAGATCTCTTTTTATTTTTTTGTAACAGTATGGTAAAGCACAGCTTGTGCCTCTTAGGCCTTATATAGTCATAAACGTTAATTTATAATTTAGACTTGGATAGAATTGAAAACACTTATTTCAGTAATTGAAAAGAAAAAGAGTCCACAGATGTAAAACGCACAGATTGAAATGGGTAGATGGCTTTTTATTGTTATTTTGAACATGATGAAACGCAGCGGACCGACACCAGCAGCTGAAGTGGCTTGTCGAATCTTTTGCCGATTGTGGAAACTTCACACAGGATCTCAAACACCTTTGATTCTTCGTCTCCAGAGTTGACGTCGAAACCAAATGCAAAATTTTACTTACTCTGAAAAGTAAAGCTTTTGACCACAGATCAGCCCTTCTTTTTTTCTCCTTGGGTAAGGTGATTCTGACGTCATCTCTAGTTCAGGAATGGCATTATGAAAATATTTTTAATGGTTGTTGCCCATTTTGGTTGCACATCGGTTTGTTGTGGCCCTTGAATTTAAATCATTTTCTGTATTTAGCGCCAATTCACAACAAATGTCTCGACCCATCTACATACAAATTCTCCTCTTCGTTTATGTTTTTCTCTGTGGCTTTCCTTCCACTCAATTTTCCATTAACACGCTTGCATTCAGCGCCCCAAAAAAAAAAAAAAAAAACAGCCCTGCTCTATAGCAACTCCATCTTTCTTGGCGTTATCAACACCTGTCAATACAACTCAAGCCAGGATTATTCCCAAGGATTAACATTTCTCTGCTGAAATCCTTTTGTAATCACATTTTATTTAGTATTTTATTTCTGTAATTAAATGAAATGGACAATACAATCACCAAAACAAACACTTAAAAGCACACGACTGTGCTTAATGAATCCACACAAGTGTCGATTCATGAGCGGAGTTACTAAAAGCTGTTCACTAATATTGTGCTGAGATGCACCTGCATGATTCTGGCAAAAACTCATTGCACGCTTTTAGGCAGCAGCGATGCCGGGGCCACTTCTCTACGCGAAATGTTTGCAAACGTTGAGTGCAAAAACATGTCCCAGCTCGGCCAAATACCAACTTTTCCAAATACAATCAAAACATTTTGACATTTTTCCTCATCTTTCACAAACTGTCACCATCATTTTGGTTCGTCTTGAACGTCAATCCAGCAACAGTGGAGCTTTTCTAAATTCCCCTAAATGCATATATAGTTCTATAATAGATGTAATAGATGTATTATAGCTATATTAATCTTAGTTTATTTAAGAACTAGGCAGTTCTTAACTGCTTAGGGCTTGTTTTTGTTTCTTCAAGAAATGTGCACTTCCAAGTCAGTTTTTTAGGAAGAAATTAGTATTAATTCCAGAACTCCTTAAATATGACAAATGCATCAATCTCTAAATGACTCAAAATGTCCCCAATTTGGTTTTGTTTACGTTCTCTTCCTGTGATATTATCTTCAAATTTTGTTGAAAGATGTTCAAAAAGTACTGAAGATGCATATATATATATATATATATATATATATATATATATATATATATATAAACCGAAGCTGGAAAAGTTTTAAAATATTGATGAAAAAAATAATTGGACCTCTCGATTCATTTGGCCCAAACTAAGCAATCTTAAACCAAAGGGACGCCTGCATGAAACTACAGGATCCAGTCGCTGTTTTGTCCTTGTGTGTGAGGGCCTGTGAACCAACTGTCCGTGTCACTCCTCTATGGTTATTGTTAGAAACAAATGGTGTCTGCTGGATAACTTTCATGATAACTTGGGGCAGCTGGCACTTCGTAAGAGCCCAGCACCAAAAAACAACACAGATTGAGTTTCAGCTTGAGGGGAGACTGTGGTCCGTCAGTGCGCGGGATTTAGGTGGAGCTGCAGGGTCAGTAATGTAAAACACCACCTGAAATGGGGGAAAAATGTTTAGGTGGATTTGAGCCAAAATCTTTAAATAAAGCACAGAATGGAGAGAAGAGGCTCATGGGAACCATTTTGTGACCAGGTGACTTCTAAAAAGGGGATTTTCTGGACTTTAATGCTAACGTCGTGATTTGAACGATTCTGTAGAGGTTTCTCTTGACTTACTTTATGCTGTGCTTCACCAACAGTTTTGCTGCACCCATTAAAAGCCTGTGTGTGACCGATCCTCACCGGTAAGCCAATATGGGCCTTCTCCCACTGTGCACCCGCTTGGAGGTTTGCTCCACATTTCTTTTTTGCGTCACTGCGAGTGGCAGTTTTCACAAAGTGGATGGAATAATGACAACTGCACCAATCAACAGCTATAGGAAGCTAAAGGTCTGACACAAGTGGTTGTTCTGGCAGGGTACTGATACCAAACACAACTCAAAACGGATGACAAAGCAAGCTAACGTTCGTCGTCTGGAACGGCCTCTCCGTGATTCCCATTGGGAAATTTTGGACCGTGCTCAAAAGCCAGGTCCAAGAAAACCAGCCAACTTAAATGAACTGTTCATGGAAATGTTGGAGACTTTAAATAAACATTCAAACCAACACTAACATGGGGCTTAGCTGGGAAGGAAAATGACTTGAAAATGGCTGTGCTTGATTTGAAATTTATTTGAAAGCATGCAAAAGCTCCCATATGTCTCGTCACTGGGTAGATTTCCTTAATAAGAAGCCCACTGTGAGCTTTACACCGTTTAGAATCCACACACACATGCTGGCAGTGATGTGATAACTTAAAAAAAAAAAAGTCTTAAAAATAACTTTTTTCTGAGTAGCACCCCTCAAACAATCCTTGATGAAGGACGCAGAGCTTATTGTAAGACATACCACCTTTATTAAATGCACAGTATCACAAGGAACATTTCCAGTAATTGTGGATAAGCTACTCACATGATGCACAAAGCATTGAATTGATTGATAGAACTGGCTGATTAAAGCAGGATCAAATCTGCCAGGAGCGCACCACACACACACACACGCACACACACACACACACACGCATTCACACATGCATTCAATTTTATGTGCAAATACACACACAATCACACCAACAAACATGAACACACGCTCACTGTATTCATAAGTAAAATTTATCTTCGTCGTCTTTTTTTCTTCTTTTACCATATATTTACAAAAAAAATAAATAAAATCGTTGACACCACCCCTAAGATAGATTACATTCAAAAAAGATCCCCACCCTTCTAGATTACATTCAAAATAATATACTATTCATGATGCAAAGTCACAGTTATTCATCTGAAAGAGGATCAAAATAGGCTACAGTCAGTCAGAGGTGGTCCGAGTGGCGGGGGCGTCGGGCAGAAGGAGGTCTTCAGACCCCGACCCGCCTCCGTCGGCCACGCATCAACTGGGACGCCTGCTGGCGAGGAGAAATCTGGGTGTGTGTGTGCAGAGTCTGTGCTCCTCCTGCAGACAGGCAGCCTCCCAGATAGCCTCTGTATGAGCTCCCCATCACAGTGGAGAGGAAAAGAGGAAATCGTTTTTTTCTTTTGGTTTTTTTTTTATTATTTTTTTTATTCTCCTTTTCAGAGAGAAAAATAAAGCACATTGTTCAAACAACGTCCTCTGCAGATCAAAAGTCGCCGAAAAGGGAGGAGGATTGTATTCTCACTGGTATCATGAACGAGCACGAGGAAATCGTACGACAGCGCACAAATAAAATCATTATTTACATTTAGTACGTATTGCCGGTGGCCCATAACACATTGTCTTCGATAGGTGTCACACAGTTTCTGACGTACCTGCTTGGGACAGATTATACTATTAAACGTAGCCTACTATTCATATAGACAGTTATCAGAACTGTACAGGATGGACAGCAGTTTATATACAGCCCACACAAGACTATATTATACAGGACAGTGTGTAAAAAAACAAACAAAAAAAAAAACACATAAGTGAGATGCACAGAAAAAAAAAAAAAGCTTATTTTTCCTCAGGTTTACACTTTGCTTCAGCTCAGCCAGGCTGAAGGTTACAGCTGGGGTCGAGACAAAGGGTGTTCAGTGGTAGAGGGTGGCTGCTTGGGTTGTGCATTTTGGGGCGTTGACGGCGTGGGAGGGTTATAAAAATGCTACAAACTGCACCTGACAAACAAAACTTATTGTCTGACTCATTTACATCTTAAAAAAAAAAAAAACACGTAATGGTTAGTTTGATGCTAGGGTGCAGATGAAAGCACAATAGCGGTACGTTAAGCCCAGTCAGCTGCTGATTTACTCTTTCCGCTGTGGTCTGGCAGCATTTTATTTCACACCCCTTGGGCCTACAATGGACTTCAAATAATAATAATAGTATTCTGTGTGACAGACCAACACAAGGTAGTGCACAATTGTAAAAGTGGAAGAGATGTGATCTTTTGAGATTTTCACAAATCTAAAAAGTGTGGCACAAATTTGCTCGAATGCCTCTAAATAAAATCTCATGCAGCCAATTCTCTTCAGTGCTCAACTGATTCGTAAAAAGACCCGATTGTTGCGTAATTTACCCTCGGCACAAAATCCGGCTGTTGTTGAACAGAATCGTGAAGGCCAACGAACACACTGGACGGGTCAGAGTTAAAGCTGTGAGCTGGTTTAAAGCAGCATATTGAAATAAAGAAAGAAAAAATCACACTCCTAAGCTTTTAACGTGTGACCCAGCTATAAATCAGAAAAGATGCTCTGGAGGAGCAGCAGCATCCACAACACAGGTGGAAGCATCTTGCACAGTTTCCTGGAAATAAATTGTTTCGCATGTAAAGTTTCAATAGTGATGTTGAAGTTAGAGTGAATGGGGTAGATACCCATGCTGTTTTTTTTTTTTTGTTGTTGTTGTTATTTTTTTGTTTTATTTGAAATAAAATTTGAAAAACATACATTTGTTTCCCTTCCACTTCATAAGCATGCATTACCTTGCAGTGGTTTATCTGGTAAAATGTCGGTAGCATACATTAAAGTTTGGTGTAACAGTTCAAAATGTGAAAAGAAAAATCAAGGGGTCAGGGCACATAAAACTAAAGGTAAGAAATTCAAAACAAGCCGATGCAAAGCGAAGACTGAAAATGCCGAAAGCCTCAAACGTCTTTAAGCAGCGTCAAAGAAATCCCTCTCGGCCCATTGCCTCACCTCGATCCGTCCTGTAAGAGCCTTGAAATCTGGCTCTGAAACATCATTCAGAGATGAGCCACAAAATAAAGATTTTTTTTTTTTTTTTTTACTCAATGGCACTGCAGGTGAATGACAGACAAATGGAAAACAAAAACAACCAGTCCTCCAGAGTTAACGCGCTGTGCTTCAGATGGCCCTGCTCTCTAAAACCAAACTGTTTCCCACCAATGTATTCACAAAATATGTCATTTTTAATTCAGGATGTAAAATATATTCCCTTTTATTTCACAATTTTGAAATGATCTTTTCTTGTTTTTTTTTTTGTTTTTTTTACTTGTCTGTAAAATGTTTTTACATGTGCATGACTTAAATACCAGATTTAAATCAACTGGACTTAAAAAGCTTTATCTACATAGACGTTTCCATATATTCTCAGTCAATGAGTGTTTCTTGCTTTTTTGATTTTTTTTTTATTACCCCCCTCCCCTTCTTAGCAAGTATGAAAAACATTGTGGCGATGGATTCACATGATGCACAATGACCTCTCTGCTCGTTTTTGTTTTGTTTTGGGTTTTTTTTTTAGACCGTTATTTTAAGTAAAATCACATAAATCTGCATGTATTTTTCACTTCGTTCTATGAAACATGCCAAGGAGATTCTGCAAATAAAGAAGGAAACAAAAAAAGCAGCAAAAACCTAAACGTTAAGGCTTCTCTTCACGGGATGAGGACACGGACAGCTTGCATTTTACAGTCACATTTACAACCGGATTCTGTACATAGACGTAGTCACGCTACCTTCACTTCTAGCGTCCTCTCTGCCCCCCGACATGCTCTCCAGCACCCAAACACCCATCCGCATACGAAGCACACATGCACACAAACTGCATACGCAGACGCTGGTGGATCAGCCCAGTATATCCAAGTAGACGGGGGAGGCCTTGGCCAAGCTCTGGAGCATGCTGTGGATTTCCTTGATGTTGAGCCTCATGTAGGGCTCCCTCTGCCAGCAGCCCAGCATCAGGTCGTATACCTCCTTAGGACAGGTACGGGGCCGCTGCAGGACTCGGCCTTGCGTGATGCACTCAATCACCTGCGGGAGACAGCGGGGACTTTCAATGCTGTGACAGATTTACACATTCATATAAATGGGGTGAAATAAAAGAAAAACAACTGATGTAAAACAACCAAACGACCAGGAGTAGAGGGGTGAGCAATACGGACTTAAAGTTTTATCTTTTTCTCTCCATTTAACATTTGGACTATTTTATGCAAGCCTATCACACGCAGCCCTGTGAAAATATTGCAAAGCTTGTGCTTGGCAAGGGGCTAAAAAGGGGGGGGGGGGAGAACTTTTTTGAGGGATTTAGGGGGCCTAGGAGGACTGCGCATTGCAAAGCCAACAGGAAAGACAGCAGTGTCCTTACAAGCTAAGGCTCAGAAAATTAATGCACTCAAAACCTAATGCCAGAGTTTTCAGTCTTAATGAGTTTCTATTTATTCCAGCCCATAACTATGCAACTTATGTTCCTGCTGACGCGCACAAAAACCATCCTTCTGTTTTTGCAAGGTAGCATTTAGAGACGCATTCTGATGATGGGTCAGAAAAGAAACAATCTACACAAAAAGAAGAAACGGTCTGACGTCTGTCGGCTTACTTTTGCAGGTGCCGAGTTTCTTTTTATAGCTCACCTCGCCTAAAATGCATCTAAATCAAGGAAACTGACAACAATCACGCAGAGCAGTTCCACCCAGCTCCATCTAATGCTACATTATGTGCGATACTCTGCGGAACAAACTGCAAATTGCATCACTGGAATAAAAAAACATTAAACATTAACATCTTCAGTTTCTAACGTTAGTCAACCGTCGACAACAGTAAACACTACAATTCCCATGATGCCTCCACTAAAGTCTTGCCATTAATCACAGCTTTGAACCTCATGTGACTGACCTCGTTGTTGGAGAGTTGGTACCAGGGCTGCTTGCCGTAGGTGAAGATCTCCCACAGCACCACACCCAGACTCCACACGTCACTCTCCGTGGTGAACCTCCGATACATGATGCTCTCCGGGGGCATCCAGCGGATCGGCAGCATCGTGTGACCGCCCACCTGGGGAGACGCGGCAGCTTCCATTAGCGAGACCCCTCAGGTCAGATAAAAGGGTTTCAGTTGCTGGTTACGCCATCTCTACTTGCTTACTTATATGACAGGCGGGGGGGACTGAGACGTTACTGTGACCAATAAACAACACGCCGGCAAAAGGACTTTGAAGACGTATGCTATAACATTCACAAAACATTTGTAAAGAGAAATGAGAGTGACGGCGCTTGGATCCCTAACTCATTTTGAATAAAAATCGTTGGTCATCAGTGGTAGGTGAAAGGCCCCGGTTAGGGTGACATATTTTTTTCCTTGCATTTCTGACTCCAGCAGAGGGCGCTGTGGGATTCAACTTAAGATGCGAGACAAAACGGAGAAGGAATTAAATAAATCTATTTGCTCCTTCTAAATGTCTTTTATTTGACTCTTATCAGTCTTATGATTATGTCCATAGCCGGCTGCAGTTCTCTCATGTCCACACCTGGACAATTACACAGTTTGCTCTTTTGCGGTTTAGTACAACGTTGTCAATCTTGAGTGAGAGAATAATTTAACTCATCGCTGAAAGAAAATGAAAAACCTTCCAGGGTTCCTTTGCACTGTTGCTTCTTATTACCATAGAAACTTAACATTTTTTGTAGATTATGAAAGTTACAAACAGATAAAATATCTTAAAATTGCTATTTCTACTGATTCACGCCTGTCTCACCAAAGCTGGAGGAAGCAATCCCTATTTGTAGCTCATGTTTCTGTGTTGAGGTATATTTATGAGAACCATCTGAAGATTGCAAGGATGTGCAGTAGCAATAATGAGCAATGAAGGGTCACATAGGAAGATGAAGAGCAAACAGCTCTCGATTACTCACCCTATAGTAGTCTGTGCTGTAAACATCTCTCGACATGCCAAAGTCTCCTATCTTGACCAGCAGGTTTTCCCCTACAAGGCAGTTCCTTGTTGCCAAGTCTCTGTGGACAAAATGTTGGGAGGCCAGGTAGACCATGCCAGCAGCAATCTGTTGGGCAATGTGCAGCATCTGAGACTGGGTGAGCTCCACCAAGATACTGTGCTGACCGTCTGCCATGAGAACCGCATCAGGACCGTGGGACCTGCAACCCAAAAAAACCATTGCATTTTTCGCAAACGACAGAAAAAAAAGTAGCTTTTCATCATTTCTGAAGATTTATTTATTTATTTATTTATTTATTTTTTATCTGTCATGATTAGTTATTGTCTCCAAAGTCTCGGTTTTGATTCGAATTCATGACAGTTTGACAAGAAAATTGTAACACCAACAAATCCAACACAGGAGCGTTCTCATTGCAACTCCCGACAACAGATGGAACAGCATTAGAACATTTAAGCTGCATGTTTGAGGTTGTGCACTCTGACATTTTAGCGCATTCGAAATCATTTTGGTGAGTCTAAGAAGTAAATTTAAGTCCAACAATTAAAAATATATACAGATGGCAGACTGTGGCAGGTTGTGGCTTCTTCTTCTCTTCCGAAAAGAGAAGGAGTTTATGGTTAAAGCAACTTTATAGTGATGATGTGAAACCAGGCAGGCTGCTGAATGCACCCATTAAACTGCCCATATAACCCACAATTGACAATGTATGAAATGGAAATGTGTGGTCGTTACAGATAGGCTTAGCATAACTGTGCAGTGACCACACCACTCAGCGTCTGACCTTTCAGCCACAGTTCAATCTTTTGAAAAAGTCCTTAGCAGACGGCTTTTCTTTACGACTTTAGTCGAGTTCAAAATCAATTCATATGACGCCCATTATGTTACTGAGACCTTTTAATGTTTTTATGAGTCTCAAATGTTACGATCAGGAAACTATTTAAGATGTCAGCACATTAACTTGATCTTATTGTGCTAGTTGTAAGCTTTTGAACTGATTATTAATTCATTATTACGTTCACCTTTGAACAGTGATTTATTGCGTTTTACTGCAAATACACGCCAGTTTCTTTCTTTTGCAGAAATAATATGTATATCTTAAATGGGCTTCTTCTCCAGTCAAGATATTTTATCAACAGAGATGTGCTGTGGATCTAACATATAGTTAATATAATTGAGCGCAGCCTTTGTCCTTGCTGAAAGAGGTGCCCAACAAGCAAAATTAAATTACTTTTACAAAACAAGTCTGTCATTTCATTGGAAGACGATCTCACCTGAGGAACTTGTTCAGGTCTCCGTGTTTCATGTACTCAAAAACCATGATGAGCGGGTCGCTCTCCACACACACTCCGTAGAAGGTGACGATGTGCTCGTGTTGCAGGTTGGTGAGAAGCTCCGCCTCCCTGTAGAAGTCTGCGCGAGCGCTTTCAGTGGCCTCCTTCAGAGTCTGAGAGACAGAAAGAGGCAGGGTGAACAGGAGCGAACATCCAGCGGAAACCGTTCCCCGGCGTTGTTGAAGAAGGAGCTTCCTGATGGGCACCTTGACGGCCACGTGGATCTTCTCATGCTCTGGCACAAGGTTGTAGCACTCGGCAAGGAAGACCTTTCCGAAGGCTCCTTCTCCCAGCTCCCGCTTCAGCACGATGTTGTGCCTCTTGATGTGCTGCACAACTTTAATACAGAACAAGTCAAATCACCCACAAGATTTTATATATATATTTTTTTTTCATTAGGAATTTTGAGAAAAAAATTTCAACTTTATAGTATACTGGAATTTGATAGTGTTCGTTACAGACAATTTAAAAAAAAATAAAAATAAATGAAAATTCCAAATGTAAAAATAAGTTGCATTAATGAAAGTCTTATAGACTTTTCAAGAAGTGTTGGCCCTTCAAAGCGACTTTGCTAGGCAAGCTAACTCTTGACACCCATCATGTCCTTTGTTTTTAGAAACTCCAGATTCTTACAGTTTACACTTTTAATATATGACTGTGGTTTTAATTATAAAATACACTCTAATGAAGGGAATAGTCCCAAGTCTTTCAAGGTCTATTTCACAACAAACATTGCAAATAACAAATACAACTGTTATGATTGTTTTTCAATTAAAATAATTACGTAATGTTTGATTTTTTTTTTTTATTAAAAATGATTTGTTTAAATATTGAGAAACTTTGATATTTTCTTTGGTATTTTTCCTCAAGATTACCATACAATTATACTATATATGGAGCGCTCAGTCTGGCCTGTGCCAAGTGTTAACTATTAGTAATTCGATATGACATTAATATGTGTTATATGTCCCTCCATTGTTATTATGAATGTAGAAATTAGTACTATTATTATTGTCAATACTATTTTATACCATGGAGCACTATTTTTCATTGTCGACTGGTTCCTAACAAACTAAGTTAAAAAAGAAGGTTGGTATTTACAGAAAGTTTAATATTTCTTGCACAGCAAAGAACTAAGACACGTCAAATCTATAGGTCTCCGATAAAACAAGAAGTTTGTGTTTCTGAGTATCTTGCATGAGCTTTCCGGTTAGCTCCCGAAGCAGGAAGTCACTCCCGCGGCGCAGTAGGAATCTGCTGATAAATATGGCGCCGATAGCAATGATCCCTGCATGGCTTTATCAGAGAGAGAGAAAAAAGAGCCCAGGTTACCCGGCGTTCATCAAGAGCGGCGGTAACTCACACGTGTCAGCTTTCAGCATGCTGCCGGAGTTGCGGAAGTACTGCGGGTTCTCAATGACAGGAATCTTTGTCATCCCGATGATCACTGCATCTGGACCCATCTCTGAGGACGACGGGGTGTTGTTGCCATTGGAGACGTGATGAAGAGGGCTGGCAGAGTCGTCGTCGTTGCTGATTACCGAGGAGGAGCCTGGGGACCCACGGAGAGGAGAGGTGGAGGTGGTGGCGGTCAGGAAACAGGAGAAGGAGAGATGGGCAGACAAGAAGGTGAAGTGTAGGAGGTTTGGTCATTAGGAAGGAGGAGTAAGAGAAGATGGAAAGAGGAGAAGAGTGGTTAACAGGGTGGATGGATGTTGAAGGGTGCATAGGTTAATAACATATGGTTAATATGGAAGTTAATAACACATGGTTTTACACAGGAAGTAGCCATATCAGTATTTATATATGTTATTGACCGTTTATTAACTTCTTAATGGTAGTAGGCATTTTGAAAATAACATTTGTAGACAACGCTTACCCTAAAAAGTGAAATCGCCTGTTTACCGTTTAGTCTAAAGGTGACAGAACATTCGGTCACATTACAAGCATAAATAGTGAGATGTGATCGGTATAAGTTTTAAATTGACCATGCATCAGTTCTTACCAGCTGATAGCCCTACATATCAATGCACTGTAATTAGCAAGAGTAAAAGAAATATTTTGTGATTAGGGGTCTAAAAAAGGCTCCAGCCCAGGGGGTCCCACCTTTCTAAATCTGGCCCTTTGCTTTGCAAAGAATCGACAAAAATGTAAGTTTGGAAACATGCAAAGCAGGGAGAAACATACCACAAAAGACTTGCAGCTGTAACTTCTGCAAATGTTTGTTCTAGAAACGATTCCATCATTTTATCTGTACATTTAAATTTATATTTTTTTCTCCCGGTTCACATTTATGTTCTATATTGTGTTGGTATTTCACATAAAAGCCCCAATAAAAAAAAAATTCTATGAATATTCTGATCTGACAACAGTTTAGGAAGGTTTTGTTTCTTTTATCTTCTCTGGGGAATTATGGGCACAAGCTTAAGTCTCCTTATTTATGCAAAAAAAAATAATAAGAATAAAATAAATAAAGATATTTATTTTACCTTTAATACCAAAGTTTGAGTTTCTTCCATATTTCAAAATGATGACCATGAGGACGCAGCCAGTCAGGGCAACACCGGCAATTCCCACAACGACATATACCTGGAGATGAACAAAGGGGAGAATGTGATATCAGTAAGAAGTCAAAACTAAACTGCAAAAATCAAAATAAGGTGCTGGTCATAATTAGTGAGATCTCTGGCAATTATGTGTTTTGTTTATTTTACACTGAAAAAAAAAGAGAAGAAAAATAGAACATCTGATTTGAGCACATTCAGTCAATGTCTAACAAAGTAGAAACAATTGGCTTTAGCTAAGTCACTTGTGGTACAATTATTAGTACAGCTAAGTTTAATGGTTTGTATAACTCCCCCTTTTCGACAAAATAATAATTTGTAGGTCTTGACTAGAGAGACTACAGAGACATGGCTTAGTGACCAGTTCCACAATCTCTATGGTAGTCCATAGACCTGAGTACGAGTTTATATATTTTTCTTTTTACCTTCACACACAATTTAGGTCTTGGCATTGAGGTTAGGTGGTGGCTTTAGAAAGAGATTTATTCTGTGACTAGTGAACAATTTCTGTGCTAATGAAGCAATATGTACTCAGAGCCCGAGGAACCACTGATCCCTATACACTTGAAACTATTTGCTCTTCTATATCAGCAAATGTGTACGAGATCACAAATATAATGTACGTCACTGAAACCACATTCAAATAAACAGCAAATATGTCTTTAAGTCAAAAGGTTTGTAAAAAAGCTATACATGGCCAGTAATATTTAGGATCACTTACTGCAACACTGTCGTCCAGAGGCGGTGGATCTGGATAAGTATATATGTGATCTGTCAAATCAGAGTTATTCATATTTGGAAATATTTTGCAATTCTGACTGATGTGTGCAATGTTATATTGTGTGAAACTACATACAAAGTCCGGAAAGAACTTACCATCTGAGCAGAAGATGCAGATGCAGGGGAAAAGGAGAAAGAAAAAAAAAGAGAGATGAAATCAGTAGATATTTTTAACTGCATAAGAGTACAGAGAAAAGTTAAGTGCAGCTTTCTTGTGCTTTTTTTCAGACTTAAATGCTTAAGATCCTCAAAAAATAATCCCCTTATATCTTACAAAGGTATGGAAAGATGTCCATGCATTAAAGTGGCAAAGAAGCCCCAGACCATCACACTATCACCATCATGTTTGACTGTGTCAAAAATGTCAATCACCTTAAATGCTGTAAAGTTGGCCTGATACAATGGGACTTATCTCTTTCATTTTTATCCCCAGAATAGTTTTCCAAAAGTCTTAGGATTGTTGGTGGACTCATATAAGGTGGGCCTTTGTGTTGGTCATCATCGGTCTCCCATAAATAAAACTTTTCAAGAGTTTTTTTTTTTTACTGTTGAATCAAAAATGCTGATCTAAAACTAAAATTTGATTGTAAGACCTAATAGGAAGTACAGAACAGAAAGACGACAATAATACCTATATTATCATTTAAATGTAATTGTAATTAATCATCTTCCTGAAAAAATACTTTTTTGCCGAAAGTAATATTTTTTTGCCTAATTCACCTTTTAGCAAAAAAGAGGTGGCAATATTATTAATTAATTAATTTTTTTTGCCAAAAATGACTTAGGCTATTATTTTAGGAAGGTGACAAAATCAAGAAATTGATGAGGGGGCTAATACTTTTTCATGGCAATCAAGTCATAAAACATAAGTATTACGTACCATAATCTGGGTTTCCTGTAAATAAAAAAATGAAAAACAAAGACATTTGTTATAATAATAATTATAACATGTCAGGTTTGTTACATATAAAATCCCACTCAGTTACAAAACTTAGTCACAATTAATATAGCTATACAATAAAAGATGTACAACTGAAACAGTTGCACTTCTGCAATTTGAATGTAATTGAACCTAGTACACTTAAAATCATGCTCTAGAAATAACTTTATTTGGAAACAGGAAGCAAACTGGCCTGTAATGTTTGGCGGATCAAGGAACTGGGCGGTGACCGTCTTTTCATCCTGACCGTACTCGTTCCTCGCCACGAGCTTGTATTCGCCGTTGTGGATGTGAGTGGGATTGGCGAGCTGCAGGCAGCCGTGGTCCTCGTTCTCGGTGGACTCGTGGATCATGGTGCGGATGAAGTCTTGCTCCTGGAGAAGCACCTTCTTATGATACCACAGCAGCTTAGGTTTGGGGTTCCCCGTCACAGTGAATGGGATGCACCACTGGTGGGCCTGTTCTGGAGCCAGCAGCTGCTCGATTCTAGGGGGAACTAAGACGGAGGCAACGGGAGAAGAAGAGAGGTCACGGGGACAACAGGAGACAAAAAGAAAGAGCAAAGGTGAAGTAAAAACCCTAATTGTGGAGAGGAGAGGTGAAGGTTGGAAAAATAACTGGGAGGCAAGCATTAACCTAATGAAAAACTACGCATTCCAACTCTGAAGACAGAAAAACATGGAAGAGGACAACGTATAAATGGATGTTAAACAAGTGAAGGCTCGTAGTGAGGCATGAGCAGCTTTACAGGAAGAAGAGTTATGGACAGGAAACATGGAAAGTCAATAAGATTTTCCAGGAGACAGTAATGATAACAAACCAAGAAGCCTTCTGCTTCCACAAGAAAAAAAAACACACGGTTTAGGAGAAAGTATTTAAATGCTCATCACACAGAGGAAATTAGAACAAATTGAACGCAAATAAAGTAGGATTTCTAGAGATGTGAGGCCACATTTGAAGTCCTTACAGAGGATATTGAGCTGAAGCGTGGCTTCAATCTGACCGACTATGTTCTCGGCGCTGCATACGATCACCCTGCCGTTGTCATCGGGAGACAGGCCTGACAAGATGAGGGTGCTTTCTGTTTCCAAAGGGTCAATCTGGAAAGATAAGACTTATTAGATCAATTACAGATTCTGTGTACAGACATGCGAGACTGGTGGGATGTTTATCTAAACAAAAAAAAACAACAACTTATATCACTCATGGTGTGTGTAACGGTTGTATGTAATTTTGCAATTCGCAATTGCTTTGCGAATTGCAAAGTAATTTGCAGTTACTTTGCAATATAAAAGTAACTGCGAATCATTCCAGCTCCTAAATGATGTAAACGAATTACAGTTATTTACAATTTACATCTAATTTTATTTAGAAAAAAATTAACAAATTAATGTCTTTTTTTTCCCTTCACTTAAAAAAAGCTTCTTATTGGCTGAAGCCATGCTTATTTGTGGTTCAGCCGGATTCAGTTTTCATGTAGTGTGGTTTTTATTTCTGTGCTGTAACACCATCTTCAGTCTTGCTGTCAGATTGCAGTTTTACTGCTGATTCCTAGAACTTCAAGAAGTAGAATGTGAGGTAGACCTTTTAGTCATCAGGCGCCACTCCTGTGGAACCAGCTCCCAGTTTTAGTCCGTGAGGCAGACATCCTGTCTACTTTTAAAACGAAGTTGAAAACTTTCCTTTTTCATAAAACAGACAGACTACACCGTGCAAAAAAATAATAAAATAAAATAAAACAATTACTCTAAGTTACGGTAAAATACTGGCAGCTGTGGTTGCCAGAATTTTGCTGTAAAATTCTGGCCACCATAGAATTTTACCATATAAATATGGATCTTGCTGTATTTATATTGTAAAGTTCTGGCAACCACAGCTGCTTTTATTGTAAATTAGATACTCTATTTTAAGAGTTTAGATTAGGATATCTTGAGCTATTTTTGTAGTTATGCTGCTGTAGGCTTAGGCTACTAGAGGACAGACTGATGACTTTTCCTCACTTTCTGCTTCTTCTTCTTCTACTACTCTCCATTTTTGCATTATTTACTGATATTTCAATAGTTAAACTTTTTGCTTTCTCAAAAACTTGCAAAAACAAGTTTTCTTCAAGTACTCTGGCTGCTTCCCACAGACCATTTGATCTTATGTTTGAGTATGTGGTCTGTTGTGTTGCATGATAGACAACAGTCATTTGGACTTCGCTTATTCCAACATTTAAAAGAGACTTGAAGGTAAACCGTCTCACCTCATAGTGGGTTGAGAGCATATCAAGGGTCCACAGGATTTCAGGAACAGGGGAGCCTGAGGCACTGCACACAACTTTGACATCACGCCCCTCCCTTACAGTCACATTTTTGGGGCTCAACTCTACTTTGGGAACCACTGCAAGTGACATAAAATGTGGCAAATATACGTGAATATTGTCTGTAGTTTTAAACCGCTCCTTTACGTCTTCACAAAGCAAACACAATCAGCCTAAGAAAACCAGCAACGCTTTACATTACCACAGTCTGGAGGAGTGAGTGTGGCAAAGTCCCTTGTCTCTCCCCTTTCATCAGTGCATGTCAGCTCTGGACCGTCTATGTCTTCTTGGAGTCTCAGTTTGATCCACAAGTTTTCACAAACACAATCCAGAGGGTTTCCAGATAGAAGAAGCCTTAAAATGGAGCAGACAAACAAACGCAAGAAAGATTTTAGTGGGAGGGGGGGAGGGAGGGATGTTGGACTACTGACAGTTTGACGCACATGTGTCAACTTACGGAAATGTACTGTTGAAGTTCTGAAATGTTCTCCATGACAGCATGGAGAGGTTGTTATCTCTGAGATTTCTAAGAAAAAAAAAATAGCAACAAAAACTGTAAAAAGTCAGCAGGGGGAACAGGTGCGATAAAAAAACTTTACTGTAAGACACTGCTTACACATATTGAAGTCTTGTGTTGTTATAAAATGCATCCTTGGATATATATGTTAATCTTGTCCTTGTCACCGTTCTGTTGGAAGTCACAGTGTGCATTTATTTAGTTTAAATTAGCTTAATATCTAACCGAGCACAAACCGGTGGGATACTTACAGATTTCTGAGGTTTATGTAGTGCCTCAAACTGCTGTCACTTATGTTAACCAATCTGTTTTGATTGGCAATGTGTCTGCGGAAAGAAATGAAACCAGATGTTAAGACTTGTTACAATGCACGTTCTTATGTAAAATGATCATATTATACTTGCTACGTCAAGTATTGAGGCAGATAAAGTCGATTTATGTTTTATTTTAGAGAATGGCAAAATTTTGCTCTCAAAATGTAGATATTTTGTCTCAGGCATACTGTTTTCTTTTTCTGATATGATTAGTTGTTTTTTTTTTTTTACATGTAATTCAAGAACTCTGATCTCAGGGCTGCACAGTGGAGCAGCTTGTAACACTTTCCTCACTACATGGAGGTTGTGGGTTCACATTCAGGTCTAGGGTCTTTCTAAATATAGTTTGCATGCCCCCTTTCTCTCCCCACCACGCATGCATCTGTTCACTCTGGGTACTCCAGATTATTCCTGCAGTCCAAGAAACATGGATGTTAATTGATTTCTCTTAAATTGTCCTTAGGTATATGAGTGCTTGTGTGAATGAATGGTTGTTTATCCTGTGTGTCTGTTGCCCTTTGATAGACTGCCAACCTGTCCAGGAAGTACCATCTACAACTGCTGGAGATAAGCACCAACTCCCCCAAAACCCTGTAAGGATGAGCGGCTGTGGATGGATGGAACTTGGTTTTGCAGCACACCAATTCAGAAATCCATGGCATTTTCTTAACATCACTCCTGACATCCTTTATTTACGTTTTGAAGAAAGAAATTACTATAAATGATCGTCTTCTGGATTCGCAGCTGACATCCATCCGTTTTTCTATACCTGTTTAACTTGTGGGGTCTTTGTTGGGGTTGGGTGACAGGTACAGGTTTTCAGCACATCGCATGGAAACAGAGACACGGCAACACAGGAGAAATATCCCTGCATGCAAACACTTCCATACCTAAGTGAAATTTAGAGGGACAAATGAACCTACCCACAAAAAAAATAAATAAATCTGCACATGTACAGGAGAACATGCAAACTCCATCCAGACAGACCCCAGGTCAGGATTATAGCCCACCTTCTTGCTGCAAGGCAACAGTGCTCCCAACTGCATGACCATGCAGGTCAGGAAGTTGTTTAAAAATGAATTTATCCTTAAATAAATAAAGCAGAGGTATGTGATTTGAGAAAAAAAAAAAACAGAAAAAAAGTAGGGTAGGCTTTGCTACTTTCCCTACGGGAACCAATTTCCCATAGGGGTATTTGTTGCTGAAATATTTGTGTTTCAATGACAGTGGTTTGTTTTGAACTATGTCCAAATAATATGCCCTATAAAATGTCTGTCTTTTTTTTTTTTTTTGTCTTTTTAATAGAAATGATTATGCTGTTGGGAACTTGGAAGGAATGTTGAATAGTTTTTACCAAATATTGTGACCCAGTTTGTAAGTGTAGAGAAGTCACGGAAAGGAAGCAGAAAAACCTGAAAACGTTGACCTGATTTGACTTAGATTAACTTCTTTCATAGTGTAAAAAATGAGAAATGATGGGATGGCAAAACGATTCAGCATAATAATGTTTATATCACTGTCAATTCAGTTCACTCTAGAGAGGGACATTCTTCACTTTAGGTGACATTATCCTTCCACCTACTGAGTAGTTAGCATGAGCTAGTGCTAGTTTTCTTCAACATTAACACTTTGATCAAAGAAGCGACTGTAAAGTCAATACAGACAGGCAATTATTTTGTGTTATACAATAGGTTTTAATTTTGACAACCAAATTTATCTACATGTCAACGAAATTCTTAGTCACAGAGTGTGAGGCTGTAGTCTTCAACCAACTTTCAGTAGTTAGTAGTAGTAATTCTGCAGCTGCAGTTTTTTTGTTGTTGTTGGTGTTTTCACTTCTTGCTTTACTGTTCCCTTAAGATTGACTTTTTATTTACAATTGCAAGTTGAAATTTCAATAATTTCTATTGAAACCAGTCGGTAAACACACTCATATCGTAAATATATCGTTTGCTTTCCTAATATTTTTTTTTTTTCTGTTATTACTATGATGGACAAAGACAGGGATTTTGGGGGAGAAATTTTAGTTCAACAAAACTGAAGATGCCTATAATTGTTCAAAAAACGACCAAATAAGTACCAAGTAATAATCCAGCAATCAATTACTTTGACCTATAAGCCCATTCTTAATTGGAATGAGTTGAGGTCATGTTTCTGTGAAAAATTGGATGTCATTTACTTCAGTTTCATAATTTAATGATGTTTACTTTGGAAAAATAAAGTAAGCAGAATACCACATTATTCTTTGAATAACATTTATCTGTAACAAACATCTTTTAGGATGCATAAAATGACTATTAATCAAGTCACTGATATTTATTCTGACTATCGAAATCAGACATCATTTATCAAAGATCATTTGAAGAAAGCGTAATACAAGTATTTAAAATATATATATTTTTAACTAAGCAACCTTATGATTTTAGTTTCACATTTCACTGCATTCAGTGTTAACAGTACAACATAATTACACCAGGATGTCAACTTGTAAGCATGATACCCATGTTCATTTCTAACATGGGTATCATGTGTTGGTATTATTTCAAAGTACCATTCCTCTCTCATATAAGTTCATTTGAGATAACATTTTGGAAATGTTGCTAACATTCCAACCTTTAATGCAAAGATAAACTAAAAGTACAAATCCCTTATTAGACTCAGCAGTTTTAGAAGCATGTTGAGTATGAATTGTATGCACAAACTGTTTGTCTGAAAGTCTTATTACACATTACGAGACTTATGACTTTATTGTATTTTAATCTGACAATTGTCAGCGTAGATGTTTTCTAAAATGATACTAATTAGTTTCACCCCAAATATCATTTGTGTAGAGAAAGTTTTTTTTAAATTATTTGTTCTTAGCCTTACAGTAGGATACTGTTTATCAGAACTCCTTTGACAGGAAACCTCACCCAGTATTTTGGTTGAAACCACAACTCAAGCTTGTTAAATCAACCGAGGTCTGGATTGGTCCACATTTGACCCATGACAAAGTTGGCACCATTACCCAAATTGGCAGAGCTGGCGCAAGCAGAAGTAATTTAGCTTCCACCCTCAGGAAAAATGTATTTGTTGATACAAACTAAAAACACTGCAGGTAGAAGACTAACTGCTCGTGATCTTAGAGATTAGATATTGGTTGTCTACTGCGAGAGTGAGACGGAGAGGGCCTCCAAGTCAAATTCTGCCTACGGCCCTGTACAAGTTTTGGCCGACCCTGAAACATTGTCCGTTTCTCAGCCACAGTGTACGGATGAGATTTCGTTTATAAGTTAATAAACGGTATCCGTTGCAAAGCAGCCTAAACGATAAAGTAGCTTAAACGGTTAACTAATGCAATATATACGTTTAAAATTTGATTTGCCTGCTTTCGGAAGTGTAGAAATTCTGTAAATCGTTGGCTGCTTCAACCGTTTTTTTCTTCTTCTTCTTCTTCTTCTTTCGCCCCCGGATGTATGCATAAATGAAGAAGTCATTTCCCCACAAAAGGCGCCAGTTGAATAACATCCATGATGTCTCCAGCGCGTCTGCCTCAGAAGAAACTAAACCCAGTCTCCACTACTCTGTGCAGTTGTAGGCTGTGTGGACTTCTGCAGCGTTGTAACAGGCACACTCACAGGCCTACACACTGACGCAGATAAGGGCGCAAAACTCTCGGCAGCCTATTGCCAGCTGTACACAACTGATATGATCTCATGTGTAATCTGTCAACAGTGTGGGCATTTTTGAAATATTGAGGATATCTCCCCCACGCCCACTCTAACTCCCACCCTCACATCCGCCTCCCCCCAACCCCCCCAAAAATATTTCTAATTTTTAAAAAAAAAAAAAAAAAAAGAGGCAGAGTGAAGACCCTGGAGGCTCCGCTGCTGGGCCTGAGCGTTCAATCCAGGGCTCTTTACCTCTGGAGGAAAACACACTAATCCAAAATAAGCATGACGCGCACTCGCACCGCCTTTACGCACACGTACACGCACGCGCGACCACTATCTCCTGCACTCCACACACTAATATGAACGTTTATATATATATATATATATATATATATATATATATATATATATATATATATATATATATATATATATATATATATATATATATATATAGTTTTTCATACATCTTTATTATGATAGCCGCCCGGGTTTTAATGGCATATGCACTTGTCATGATTAATATATGCACCCTTGATGTTTGGTGTCACTGCCACCTGTACTGTGGGTTTGAGCTACCTGCTTCGTAAGTTAATAAGATCGTTTATATGCACACACTTACATCTCGGTGATGTTTTCCATGTCATCTAACGTAAGGACAGGGAAATCCTCGATCCCCGGTTCGGGGTCGTTACAAACAATCCGTGAGATGCTGCAAGTGCAAGATTCGGGGCAATAGGCATCGCCGGATCTCCACAGCCCCATAAAAAGCACAAACAATCCAAAACGAGCCATGCCATATTTCCCCGCGCTGGAGTCCATCGCGGGGCCAGTGAATATATCCCACGAATCCCCCACGACAGAACGGAATCTGGTCAAGCTGAATTATTATAGCGTTTCTTCACTTGCCGCCTTTTATCTTGGCCAAGTTAATCCTTCCGATTCTGCAGAATGAGAGGTAGGGGAGGAAAAAAAAAAGAAAAGAAAAGAAAAAAAAAAACAAGACTGTGCTGTCGGTTGGGAATGCGCAGAGCCCACGGTTTTAATATGAAGATGCCATGGACTGGCCTTCTCCGTCTCCGCAGAGCTGGTATCACGCTACTGCATATCGATGCCGTGAAGAAAGGTGTCAAGTGCTCCGTCCTGCTGCTGCTATTGCTGCTGCTGCTGCCGCCGCTGCTGTTGCTATCTCACTCCTCCTTTTGCGGCCACTGCCTTCCTTGTAAAACAAATATGAGCTGCTCCAGATGTTCAGAGATCAATAGGCAGGAGCCCCGTGTGCGTATGTGCGCTGATGGGGAGGAAAGCTGCACAACGGAGTAAAGGGATGCGTGGTGATGCTGCTTGTGTAGGGGAGGAAGGCTACCTGCATCCGTCTATCGATCATCACCGAGGACGGGCGCAGCTCCGAGCCGTCTCATACGGGGGGTGGGGAGGGTGTGGGGAGGTGGTTGCGATGGTGATTTTATGTCTGAGTTAGATGCACGGCGAGAGAATCTTATTAGAGAAGCATAATTTGAATAATGATAATAATAATAATACTTTTTTCTTTCTCCATTGCGTTCAGAAACTCAACGCGAACTGTAACAGCTTTATTATACGGGCTGCTAGGAAACACTCAGTGGCCAGCTTTGGGTCAAAGGGGCCCACCCGTCAACAACGACACAGATAGAAACTCTACTGTTGTGGCTGCTCTGAAGCAATGCGATAGATGAAAGCTGAGCCTTTTCCATAACAACGCTGTTGTACGGCTGCCCATTAGGCCTGGTGTGACGTGCGGGTGACGCACAAGTCGGGGTGCATCTATGAAAAATAATTACCTATACTATGTCTCCAAACTTCAAATAGGCCTCACACCAATCACTGAGCAGAGCGCAGATGGATGTCTGCTATTTTGTTCCTCACTGTCTAAGCGCCAGCTTTAGTGCAGCTTCTTACTTTTTGCACGTCTTGTTAGAGATAAAAAAAAAAGAAAGGAAAAGTGGTTTAAGATCTCAGAAACTTGGCCTGCTAAGTACATTAGGAGGAGCACAGGTGCATCTCAGTGAATCAGAATTAAATTGAAATGTTCCGTTATGCCAATAATCTAATTTAAAGCGCGAAACACACAGGAGAAGAGAAGATTTAAGTGACTTTGAAGGTGTTATGTTTGTTGGTGCTTGACGTGCTGACGTCTGAGTATTTTAGAACTTGTTGATCTGTTTGGTCTCTTTTGCTCTCAGTCATTTCTTAGGTTAACAGAAAATGTTTGACACTCGTTACAACCAAGATATGTGGAACACCATTTCATGCGCAGCACGTCAAACCCTGCAGCACTTTGGCTAAACCTGCAGAAGGCCACACCAGGTGCCACTCCTGTCCGTTATGGACAGAATTACCAAATTTGGACAAAAAAATAAATAAATAAATTGCATAAAAATTTCCCGCAGTATTCAGAATTTGGTATAAACAACATAGATTAAGATATAAAGTATCATATCTGGCAATAGAGGTTCAATAGTGTGAGGCATTTCCTTAAAACACTTTGGTGCCTTACTTCAATTTGAAGATCACTTAAACACCACAGTCTTACTAAATATTGTTATGTCAATAGCTTTATGACCAGTCCTCTGCTGACTATACTTCCAGAAGCATAACACACTGTGCCACGACAGCATAAATAATAAGTATGGCGCTCAGTTCACTTTATTTATCTATATTTTATATAGATCTCAATCTGGTAGGGAACATTGGGGATGTGGTTTAATGGGAGAATTGCTTCTTGAATGTTTAGCTGACAAACTTGTTTCAACTGCATAATGCTATCATATCAAAATTAACCAAAATCTCTTGAGTATTTTTTCCGGACACGTTGTCGAATCTATATGCCACAAAGAATAAAGGCAATGTCACACTCTTAAGGGACGGTAGAAAGGTATATCTACCGTCCCTTAAGTACACTTCTAATGAAGTGTACTTAAAGCAGTTGTTTTGGCCAAATTATGATATTCAGCATTTAACAAACTCTTCTTCAGTTTGTCCAAAAATTAGAATATTGTGTAAAAGAAGTATTTTTCACACATTAATGTTGCTCGATACTGAAAAGTGCAATAGGACACCTCATTATTATGAAGTTGTTTTTTTTAGCAAAAGGCCATTTCAGGACAAGAAAGAAACTTAACCACAGGTAAACACAAACCTTAATCTTGTTTTATACTTATAAATCAATTGTATAAAAGTATATTTGAACTTTGTTAAACTACCAGCTTGTCACTTTAGTCTGACAAAAGTTTGCCCCGTCTCTGATTGTCAGCTGTGAAATGTAGGAGAGGTCTTCTTGCATGTATAGGCTGTTTTTAATCTCTCCCAAACATCTCATTGAAATCCAGATCTGGGCTTTGACTCAGCTTAGGGCTTTTCATTATAATTCTCAGCCAGTCCTTGGTGGATTTACAGGTATGTCTTCAACAATGACCTTTTGAGACCTGTCCTTCTTGAGGGTTTCTGCTACACAACTGTCATGTCCAAAATTGTATTTTTCTTATGAAGTGTTTATTATCTCTAAGCCATCATCATCATCATCATCATCATCATCATCATCATCATCATCATCATCATCATCATCATCATAATAAAAGTGTGAAATATATCCATCTTCAAGAAATGAACCTATATAATGCACAAGACACTTTTTGATTTAAATCACATAAAGAAATTAACTTTTTGATGATATTCTAACACACTCAGATCAACCTACACAGCAGAATCCATCCTACAAAATCTACAGTATCTGTCACGTTTCACAAATAATAAAATTAATTCCACTTATCACTGAGCAGCAAATTATCTAGGTGATCATATATTTCAAAATGACCAAATAAAACTGTTTTGCAGATTCCTAAATTTCCCGTACACGATCAGGAGGCAGTTGGGACAGATGATCCATGACACAGTCTGGATGGTTAGTGTCGCTATGGTGACTTGCTTTTTAACAAATAGCACTGACAATATCAAGTGTCGCTATGGTTGCAGATGAAAATATGTACACTGGCCTTTCTCTCCCTTTTTTTATGAGAAACATCAAGAACTGATTTATATCTGTCTCCATGGTAACCCCAGCATATAGGATGGACAGAAAGAGAGGCAGAGAGAGAGAGAGAGAGAGATAGAGATGTATTTTTGCAATATCTGAGGGGAATGTGGAGAATACAACACTGCAAGAATGAGATCCAAATCTGACCTCACTGGAACTCAGGATTTCCAGTAAGTGTGAAGAGGAGCACTGGGTTGAAGTCATGACCTCCGATCTCATCATATTGTCAAACTTATATTGCTAGAAAGCAAAAAATAAACAAATTAAACCCTACTGTAGTTCTAAAAGCTTAGCATGTGATTAAATAAGAATATTTAATATAAAAACAATGCATTCCTCCTGGATTGGCCTATTTCTTTTAAATCTACCAAGCATTCCATAATAGTTTAGTAAATGTAAGAATACATAAAAGCATACTTTGTACAAAATACATCAGACCATAGTATTGATTTCTTTCATGCCTTTCTAAGCTAAAGAAACCTTTGGTTATTGCCACTCCTGCAATGCCTCCTGTGACCATCTCTGAGCTCATCTGTCTGTCTAAGCCAGCTGGTGGCACACTTGTCCTAAATCTCACATGGAGCTGTGGTTTCACTAATACCCAATCTAAACGACCAAGTATGTTACATTTGTCATCTTTTAGATCAAATCATTTTATTTGTTTTATGCCACAAGGCTGATGTTGATTCATGTAGCAAAACCTCTATGTGTACATTAGGCACATTGGAATAAAATTCTCACTGCCTGTTCACCTTAAGTCAAAATATTCCATTACCATGGTAAATACATAAAATGTAAAACAAGGATGCATAATGTAATTTTAAAAAGAAAAGCAACAATTATTTGACCCTTGCTTTAAATTCTTTACTTCTTACAGCTGATGTCATCTCCTGCCACTTCAATACCCTCCTTGACCTCCCATTAACTGGACTTCAATGTGTATTGTTCAAGTGGAAACTGTTTACCTGGGCAAACTTTGATTCTAATAATCCCCCCAGTTTGTTTCACATCATCAAGTTGTGTTTAACATACAAATTGATTTGTATATTTTTGCAATGCTGCCAAACATAATTTATTTTTGCCCCCAGAGTTTTACCACTTTTTAGGGGATTTTTCTTTTCCAAAATTGTTGTTTACATTTTTTTTTTATCTTAATTTTGCACCGAAGATGCATTAAATGTTGCATGTCAAATTAAGATTCTCATAATAGATAAAATTGACCAAATCGCTCATACACGTGGATAACAAGCTTATCAGTTCTTTTTGATGAATTTTGTCTTAACCCCGCCCATCCCTGCTGACTTGAGAAGGGTGTGCAAAGAGACGAGCGGGAGAAGGTCGACAAATCGAACCTATCCACGGATTTTTCGGGGCGAGGCGACGGTAGAGGACCGCGGTGAACGTGGTTTGGCTGCAGGTCTGTTTTTATAAAGGTTACATTTTGATAGTAGCTCGTGACTTTACCTTCTTTGCTTTTGGTCTGAATATTGGACATTGTTAGAGGACGGTAATTTAACGTGCCTGCTCTGCTTGTCTTTATTTTCTTGTCGTGCATGTTGGCCAGTCTTAACGTGGACACTAGCTGGCGCCTCGTAAAACGCACAGACCCACTAGCTGGCTAACTAGCTGCTAGCATGGAAAGTAATGCCAACACTGCTAAAGGCTTTGTAAAATCCGGGGAAAAAATACGTTTCCCGTTCAAATTACACCCCCTCAATCTACAGTCATGGTTTATATCAACATTAAAATCCTATTCATAGAGAGCTATGCACACAAACTGCTAACAGGCACTTTCCTTTCTCTGGACAGGACCTATGCAAACATGACCGGGGCTGCTCTCTAAAGCCAAGAGTAGCATAACGTCCTAGCTGTGTTTATCCAGGCCTCTGTTTAGGAGTGATGCTTCTGCAAAAATATATAATCCTCAGTTGTGGGAAGAGCACGTAGGAGGGTAGCATGTGTTAGCTGGATACACTCAGTCCCGTTAAGGCTAAAGTCCACGTTTTATTATAAACAAGCAGGCATGTTTAACATGATAGTAGGAAAAACACTTAAGGTTTAATTAAGCTCGCAGGTAAAGGTATACTGATGTGCTGGGCTAATTTTATTAATGGAGAATGTGCTTATGCGATTCTTTATAAAGCATTTTATTTTCTCCAAAGTGACAACTACAAAAATAGAGGGGCCTTTCCTGATCAATACAGATTTCTTCCAATTTTCTTTTACGTATGGGCTGCAAATTCAATTTTCAAACGTTATTCAAATTCAAAAGTTATTCTAACTGCTAAACATAAATTTTTTAACTCCTGTAGAAATATTTTTCCCATTTGAATCAAATATAAGAAGTATTTTTATGAAATTCAGAAAGGTGTATCTAATTAAGTGTACTTCAAGACCTTGTTTAGGCCAAATTATGATATACAGGTGCATCAATAAATGTTCTGTTGGTTGACAAAAATGGTATCTTTCAAATACTATACAAAAGGAAGCACATTTTTCAGGATTTGACTTGCTGATCACCAAAACTGATGAAGGGAAATGTCTTTGGCTGTTTTAATAATGAAGGAAATAATATAATATATGTTATTTAACAAACATATATTATTCCACTGCGCTGAGCTTATTCTCACTGTTTAGCAGATCCAAGAAGAACCGCTTTGCTTTTCACTGCAGACTCATGACAATGGAAATGAAGGGCGAACAGCAGGACGAAGATATTTCATTCAGCAACACTGACACTAATGGTGAGGTCTTGCATATCTTCATTTTACACGTTCTTATTGCGCGTTAGAACTGCCCAGAATAACATTGTCATTGAGAAGTTTCCAGACTCCAACCGGTCTCAAAGCCAGCATCGAATTTTTAGATTTCCATTGGCCAGTTGATTTGCTGAAGACTAAAATTATAACCATGAGAAAAGAACATTTCTGGCCAGAATAACTTACCATGTGGTCATGTCAGATGGTTGAGAGAGCCTCTTGTCCAGGAAACTGCTGTTCTGTGGGCCCAGAGCAGATCTGCCCATGTTTTAATTCAGAAAGGGTACATGTTGGTTCTGGACGTAGACCAAGTTGCATTTGGCTACTGAAGTGTACTTGGTGTTGATGGTATATGCTGTAGACTTTGCTCATTCGAGGATTTTATTTTTACTAATATTAATTTGGTTTATTATAGCACTTCCACAAGTGAATCAGGAGAACATTCTAACTTATGATTCTTGTAAAGGAAATATTAAAAAGTAAACTTAAAAAAAAAAAAAAGAGAGAGGCTCATCTTTTATTTCTGTAAGTGCATAATTTAGGAGGTTGCTGCATGCTTTGGGTTTGACCTTGCCTTCTGTCTCAGGTAAACGTCCTGCTGAGGACATGGACGAGGAGCAGGCCTTCAAACGTTCACGCAACATTGATGAGATGGTGGAGCTGCGTGTTCTGCTTCAGAGCAAAGTAATCAGAGATCATATCATGAGCCCCTGCTATTTGCTGGGCCACGTAGCAATTTTTTTTATATTTTTTTTTTTTTTCTTTCCTCTCTCTCGGTGATCAAAGTGTTTTGCTTTGCTTCACAGAATGCGGGAGCCGTCATTGGAAAGGGTGGCAAGAACATAAAAGCTCTTCGCACAGACGTGAGTAAATAGATAAAAATGTCTTCATATATATTTGCACTCAGAAAACTTTAGCTTTCTTATTCTTCCTTTTGGTGCTGATTCTAATCTACACAAGTCTTATTCAACCCTGAGAAAAATATTGTCACATTTAGTTGTTTTTTTTCTGTCACAAAATTTGATGTATTTTACTTGGATTTTATGGTGATTGACCTGAACAAATATGGAGTGGAAAGAAAACTCGAATAAAAAAAGCCTCCTTCACTTTGTTCATAAAAAAAAAAATCCAGTTTAGTTGAAAAGAGAGAGATGCTCTGGTCAGGTAGAACCACAAAATAAATTTTAACCTACACAGAAATTCTAGTTCCTGATAAATGCATAAAAAATTGTGAATGTACAAAATATAAACAATTCCCAGGTGCAACTGGGTTATTTTATTTGTTCTTGAGTTTTATATGTTGCAGAACAATTGAAAGTTAGTAGTTGGCGCGTTCTAGCATCTGGGTTATTATAAAAGCAGCTCAAAATTTGTTTGTTGGTTTTAATCATCTGTCGTCAAGAATCACTGCACAGTGCTACAAAAAAAGCATTACTGAGACCAGAGAGTAGAGATTGACCGATACGGGATTTTCTATTACTGATACCAATTTTAAAGTGTCAATTGCAGATTTTTGAGACAATTTACTTTGTTTTGTGACATTGATTTATTTGTGATTCTTTTCCTTTTTTACATTTGATCAAAACTTTTCCATTTTCTTTCTCATTTAATTGGTTCATTAGTGGCCTGATGTTATCGCCTTAAGTTGGTAGCTTCTGTTTTCCCTACTGTAATACAATTCATATAGGAAAGGAGACATTTAAAGGTGCCCGCTGATTACCGTTTTATTAATTTGCTTAAAACATAACTTGTATGAGTCAAGTTGAGGACCCAAAATAAATGTGCTGAATTTTTCAAGTTTAGTTAAGAAAAGGGAGAGGGGGTGGGAACTACATCTTCCTCTGTTATTTGTTTTCCCTTAAAAACAACTCTTAAGGCATTTTTAGCTCAAATTTCCTCTACGTAAATCGTAAGGAGAACATCGGAGGAAATGACATTGATTAGGACTTGCATAATGTGATTGAATGAAACTCGATGCACAAAGCACAATTCCTGTATTTAGTAAAATTTGTGAGTAACTGAAACATAGTCTCCCCTGCAACTACAATCTGCTTTTATGACATCCATTGTCAGCAACATCTTCAGTCCATACTAATAAGCTTTTTAACAATAAGTTTCATTAACATCAGTGGTGCAGTGGACAGAGCACAAGAGTGTGTACAAACACATTACACACAACAGTAACGTGTGTGGTACCAAGCTAGCAGTGTCACAACACAGGAAGACGCGTTCTACTTTGTTTAATTTCTCCATATCCAAAGCTGTGAACAAGTTCTGTCATTCCACTAGTGATGCGTACATGCAGGTAATAATTACACATACAGAACAGATGCATCAGTTTACAGTTGAAAGAGGAAGTTTACATCCACCTAACAAAGACACACTTTGTTTTTCGTACTGTCTGAAGTTAAATCAGTCAAAACTTCTCCGTGTTTAGTTAATTATTACCAAAACTATTCATATTTGCTAAATGCCCCAATAATAAGAGAAGGAATATTCCTCTCTCACACACACATGTCCACAACTTCTAGAAGGATTGAGATCAGGGCAAAACATTGACTTTGTCTTAAAGCAACATTGTAACCACTTTGTATGTAAATTTTCCATTTACAAGACCCATTTGTGGTTCTGGTTTAACTTCCTGCCCAATTGTTTTAGATGTTAAGAGAAGTTCGGTCTTGGTTATGATTTTCACTGACCTTATCAACTCTGTGGCAACAGGGCTGTGGTGTTTGAAGATATGCCTGTTTAAAAAAAAAAAAAAAAAAAAAAAAAAAAGTGTGCGCCGTCAAGACTGATGAAGATACTTTGGAAAACTGGAAAGTTTCGGCCAATTCATTAGTAGGCCGATAATATCGGTCAACCTCTACCAGAGAGTCACTGTTAAACTGCTCTGCTTGAGTTTCTCCCACCCCCAATAATTAAAGCTAATTTTAGATATCGCTTACATTGCTAATTTTTGAAACTGAGTATTTCTAACAGCCCTGTTGGAACATTTTTTTTTTCTCTGCATTGTTAACTTGACCAATGTGCTCCTTCATACTGCCTGTTAAAACTTATCTCTGTCCTGGTCACACTTCCTGTTCTCTTTCACTCTCACAGTTTCTCTCATATCACTTTTTGGGACAAAGTGTGGCGTGTATTCAATTAAAACTGTATTCCTTCTCCCCCTCTTCCCTTCTCCTTTTACTTGTTTTTGTTCTTACTTTTGGCCACCTTCCTCCGTTGCCCATGTACCGGATCGACATGCCCCTCCTGCGTTGCCCACCTTGACGTTGGCCCAACCTCCGCCCGCCCCCGAACGAAACCCGACCGCTCGGCCATCTGACACTCCCGGTCGGCCCTGTCCATATACTGTGCCCCTCCTTATTCGGGCACCTAACTTGACATGATGTGATTGAATGCCCCTGCCCAATGCCAACCTCCTCCACCACAACCACCATCACCACCACCACCACCACCTCCTCCTCCTCGGTCCATGCAGTACAATGCCAGTGTATCAGTCCCAGACAGCAGTGGCCCAGAGCGGTATGTCCCACCAGTTATTGCCTCACTGCCTGATTAGAACAGTGAAACACTTGTCTTTGATAGCCTGCCTTCTGTTTCCATTTGAACATTTTTATATACATGACACTTTACAACCCCACCCTCTTCCCCTCCCCTTCACCAAACACCCCCTCCTTTCTCTATAAGACATGTATTGTTCCTTGATTTTTTTTTTCTGTCCATTTTTAAGTATCTCCTATTAAGTTGGACTCTCTGTAATTACAGTTACTCAATCATGCGGAAATTGTCTGACAGCCCACTACAAAGTAGTTGGTGTTTTATACTCAGCAACACTAAAGTTGGATGGTTTATTTGTTGCTCTGAGAAAATTTGTGAAATGCAGGCATCTTTAAAAAAAAAAATTCCCCCCTCGCTCTGTCTTCTGTGACCCACCCCTGGTCCCTTCCCCTTGCCTCCAACCTCCCACTCTCCTCTGCCCCCACTCTCCCACACTGTTTCCACCATTACCGTCCCATGATCTCTGAGAGAGAGAAGAGAAAGAGAGCTTGCTTTCCTGTGGAGGCTCCGCCCTTTCACTTTGTCACTTCATTGATGTTTCTTGATTCCATTGTGCTGCATCCCCCCCCCCTTCCCCCTTCTGTTGAATTTCTTAGGTTACATCAGATCAGATCTGCCTATCAAACCTGTCACCTGTCACATCACCCTTCCCCTCTCCAACCTGCTCTTCCTCTGTGCCACAAAGCACTTGGTAACCCCTCCCCAACCCCTCTGCTGTTTTAATGTGCCTTAGCTCTCTTCCCCTCTCCTTCCCTCTCCCCCCCTTCCCCAACCTCGTGGTCACAATGAGACGGTGAGCTGGTGGTGCAGCTGTAATGGCAAGCTACTGTTTTTAAATGACTTTCTCTTTCCCCAACTTCCTGGTGGTGGGATGGTTATAGAAGAAGTTTCTCGCTCTTACACCACTTACCCAAAATCTGTGTGGCCACTTTCACGTTTTTTGTTTTTTTTTTGAGACGCGCTGGAACCCCCTGTCCTCGTAAAGCTTCTCTTACTTTTGAAATTAGTAAGGGAGTCAGTGCATGTCTACTGCTGTCAGTGTAGCGTTGGGGAAAAATTAAGCACTCGTTTAAAGCGTCTTATTGGTTTGTTCAGGACTGTCTGCTGGGCTGTCTTTTAGGTCAGGTTTATCCCTCCGTTTTTTTGGTGTTTGGTTTTTGTAATTCATTTATTCCTGTTTGCCGAATTGGTTTCTGGCAGGATCCTGAGTGTAAGTGCCAGTATCGACACCATTGGAGAGATTCTACTGAAAATCATACCGACTCTAGAGGAGGTAAGATGTTACGTCAGTGTAAGTAAACAGTGGTGTCTTTTTAGACATGAATGATCTTTAAGATAAATGTACAGTAAATAAATAAACATTTGGAAAAAAATTGTAATGTAATAAAGCGATAATTTGCATCAAATGTTAACCTTTCTATGGATTTGAAAAATATATATTTTGTCCACAACTTCTATACTAACATCTAAGCACACAGAACTTTGTTTTTGTTCTTATGTTTTTCTAGTACCAACATTACAGTGGGATTGATTTTGACTGTGAGCTTCGCCTGCTGATCCATCAGAGCTTGGCTGGTGGGATAATTGGAGTGAAAGGTGCCAAGATAAAGGAGCTGAGAGAGGTAGGACACAGCCCAGATTAACCATTTAATCCTCTGCACTAACAGCTGAGCAGTAAAAAAAAAAAAAAAAAAAGACAACTCTTTAACTTTGGAAACGTGTTTGCCCTTTGTTTCGCACATTGGTCCTACAAGCTCATCTTAAAAGACGCTTTGTTTGCTACTTCTCAGACAAGTTCTAGTGCATTTTTGCATTTCATTAGGAAAGTTTTTTTTTGGACTGTGTAGTCAGAATATGAATGGGGAAAAAAAACTGTGTGTGTGTGTACTAGAACACCCAGACCACCATCAAGTTGTTCCAAGAGTGCTGTCCACACTCTACCGACAGGGTCGTCTTAGTGGGAGGAAAACCAGAACGTGTGGTTGAATGCATAAAAGTGATCCTGGAGCTAGTATCAGAGGTAAATCTACCTTCTCAATTACTATTAATTCTCTAAAAGTAATTAATACAGACACATCTTGACTTGTAGAACATCACATTTATTTTGAACGCGGTGTACTCCAGCGTCGGTTTATAATTTCGCCGTAACTTTTCTTCAATCTGCAGGCACCGATTAAAGGCCGTACTCAGCCTTACGACCCTAACTTCTATGATGAGACGTACGACTACGGTGGCTTCACCATGTTGTTTGAGGATAGGGGCCGACGACCCATGGGTGGATTTCCCATCCGCGTGCGCGGCGGTTTCGAGCGCTTGCCTCCTTTACGTGGCAGCAGACCTCTGCCTCCCTCCAGAAGGGACTATGACGACATGAGCCCTCGCCGGGGTCCTCCACCGCCGCTTAGCAGGGGCATACGAGGGGGCAGCCGAGCGCGTAACCTGCCTCTCCCGCCACCCCCACCGCCAAGAGGAGGGTGAGAATTGGGCAGATTTTACACTTTCGATCAGAATCTGTTAGGGTTTAAATTGTTTTTGGATGAATTTGCTAACTTTACTGGACTGGTTTTGGCAGCTTTTACTGTAGATGATCAATTTGTACATCAAAGGTTTGTTTTGATAATTGAAAGACTACAATTTAGTAACCAGCAACATAAAATAACACTGAGGCTTTAAAAGCACATCTAAGAGTGGAGTTGTTCAGTCTTAAATTATTTTACGTCTCTACCTCACATCCATCTGTTTTTTTTTCTTCTCTTATGTTGTTTGCAGAGGAGACAGGTTTTCACATGGCAGCTATCATGGCAGCATGGATGACAGACCAAGGTGAGAAAGGTTAAGCTTTAAATTTCTCTTTAAAGCTTAACAGAATTTAGAGAAGATCATATCTGTGATTTAAAAAGTCCTATTTTTTTTTCTTCCACTAAATCAACCAGTGTCACTGCTTGCTTGGAACCAGATCTTCTTATTTCCAGTGACTGTTTGTTTCAACGTCTCCTGCTACTTGCTGAAATTCAGTTGCAATTGCTGTTTTTGACTGAATTTATGAATGCCGTTTGTGGCTTCATTGATGACCGTATCAGATGTTTGAGTATTCGCTGCTGGTGTTTGCAAATCAGTCTTGAAACGTTGTGCGTATTTAGAAATGTCAGTCGGAAATCAGTTAATTTTGCTAAAATTTTAAATGTTTGGAAACGCTGACTCGTTTTAGCGAGCATTTGTTACACTTTTTATGGTATTTCAAATAAAAATCCCCTTTTAGGTTTGTATTCATTCATTCATTCATTGTGAGTTCATCCAGAGAGAGGTCTGGCTGCTGTGCAAATATCAAAAATTCAGTGTGAACTTTGAGATTGAATCATTTTCCCAAAGATTGTAAATCTGGCCATTTTCAGTGGGTGCAGTGTCCCCATGCACTGCGATGGTCTACAGATATTCAGAATACAACCGAGCGAGGATCAGACATTTAATGTGCAAAAACCAACCAGTTAACAGCCTGTTGTCTTTGTTAGAAACCAGTTAGAAGGAGATAAAGCACACAGTCTTCATCTGGCACTGGAGCATTTTGGTGGAAAACCCCTGTTGGGTCAAACTGTATTAACAACTTTGTTTTTTTTGTTTTTTTCCCCCCCCCCTGTTTTGTAGTGAAAGAAGAGGCAGAGACCGCTATGACAGCATGGTGAGTGTAATCAGCTGCAGCTTCAGGGCTCACTTGCTGTTTTTTTGTTTCCTCAAAAGACTTTGTGGTCTCTGCCTGTGAGTTGTGTTTTCAGATGGTGATTGCGTTTCCTTTTCTGAGTGTAGTACAGCACACTGGCTCTGATATGGCTCCTTTTTTTTTCTTCTTCTTATTATTTTTCCCCCCTTCACATTGGATGCACACTCATGTAGACCTGTTGTTGCCTGGCAACAGTTGTCTCCGTGGTTACCACTGAGCAACTGAGTACGCAGTCCAGAGATCCACCAGGCGAGCAATTGAACCAGAGCAGTTCTTGAAGTGGTTCCCCGCAGGTTTTAGCTGCAAGCAAAAGAGGGCAGACGAATACTTTGACCATAAAAAGGAAGAACTCTTGAGATTTAAATATTATTTAAAAACTGTATTACTGCTTCCGGTTGTCTCAGCAGTAATACAGATTCTAGGATTTGGATTACAATACAAGTTAGGTTAATGCTAGCTGCTTGCTAATCTGTCTTTGTCTTTGAAACACAAATCGGTGTTAAATTTGTCAAGTTTATGTCCTTATGTGAGTAAACAAATTTGTGTGTATTGCTGTATATGCGTTCATTAGCCTCGCAGACATAACGCTGGTCGGATAAGAGAACTTTTAAAAGTATCCTAAAGATACTTATATCTTCTATTTTATTTGTTTTTTTGACTGTCTTGAACTCAGAGTAGCTTTTATTAAACATCCTTGATTCTGCAAAGTATTGTCTAGTGTCTTCAGATATGCAACATTGACTTTGTACAATAAAGAGAGGTAAAAAAAAGGCATAACCATAGTGAGACATCAAAGAGTGATTGGTAATATAATGCATATGTGTATTTAGTTTATAATTGGTGTTATTACTGAAAGCTTAAAATATATTCTGATTCCTTACTAATGTTTGTAAATTTCATCTCTTTCTCTCCTCTCCTGTGATCCTGAAACGCAGAGTGGAGGTGGTTACGGTAAGTTTTGATATCCATGATAATCCTGCAGTTTTATTTATTTAAACTGTGGTAATTATTACCTTTTTACACACTTTGGCCTTGAAATGGCTAGAGAGCGTTTGTTGTTTTGGCTGTACACGTTTACACATTTGAAGTACCAAGATGTTTCTTGTTCAACAGAGCATGTCCAAACATTTTAGTGACAATCTTGAGATCTTCTGGACTTGAAGTTGAGTTTAATTTTCAGTTTGACTCTTTTTTTTATTATTATTATTATTTTATTTTATCACACATATATTAAGCCCAAACATTCCTACCCCTGGTAGATTTAAAATATTTGTCATTAAACAAAGAAGTTTGTTTCTAACAGGAAATGAGACGGGGTTTTAAAAAAAAAATATATATAAATGTAAAAGTTAAATGGGTTTTTACCCAAGTGTTGAAATATTTTCCAAAAATTATTTTTCTACAAGTCAGTGTTTTTAGTTTACTAAACAGAAAGTCAAATTAGTCTACTAAAGCTAAAATTATCACTGATGACTAAATTATGGCTTATACCAAGCTCAATCTGAAATAAGTCTGGCTGATTGAAGATAATACTGTGATAAATAAAGACTAACATAAAAATAAAATGTTATTTCACTGTCCCACCTGAATTTAACATGTTCCTGTTGGGGAAACCAGTGGGATTTGTTTATCAATGTTTATTTCCCCATCTCATGTTTATAAATAAAGGTTGTACATGATGTAAGTTTTAAAGGCCTGGCAGCCATCTTGGTTATTTAATTCTGAGTTGCTCAAAGCTCTTCCAACTTTCCAGTTTGTAATTCTGATTTCTGGGGTCATTCCTGTGTTATTTCCAATTAAGAACCTGGAGTAAAAAAAAAAAAAAACTTCCAAACTCCTTCAACTTTATCAACTTACAGATTATTACCATCTTCAAACATAACACAAATGCAAAGGCACCAAAGTCAAGCTAAAGAAGGAATAACAGAAGAGTTTTTTTTTCTGATGCATGTTGTAAATGTTTCAAATATTTTGTTTAAATGTCGTTTTGAAATTTTCTCAAGGATAATGCAGCAGAGTGCGGGAATCCTCTTTTTGTTTTCTTCCTTTACTTTTTTTTTTTTTTTAGGTTTAAGTTCGGCTCCTGAAACATTTCTACTTTAGAAACAACACCCAGTACTTGGTGCCGTTGACTGAAATTTGTTTCTGCTGTGCATATCTATTTCTTTATAAATTAAGCTTCTGTGGAACGGAGGAAGAAACAGGTTTTACCTGTTGATGTTGTTTTTACACTTTCACTATTTCCTCTTGAGTGGCATTTAGATTTTTAAACATAGCACAGCTAATTGATTTCCAAGAACTGGTGTGGAAAGCAGTTTAAATGAAGAGGAAAACATAGCTGAATTAAATAATAAAAAAAAGGTGCTAATTCTCTATTGCTGAAAACCCTTCTGCTGCCTCATTAGTCACTTATTGTCGAAATTTTAGTTGCACCAATGAGCAATTTCTTTAAATGTTTACTTACCGTTGATATAGTGAAAGTGTGAATTAGTTAAACCCAGTAGATAAAAAAAAAAAGACGATTGGTATTAATGTACACAGCACAATTTCAACTGTTATCTTTCTATTTACTATGAAAGGACACACTTGGACCAACAAGGCTTAATATTTCTTTATAGATGCATCACCATCGCTGGCGTTTTGGCCATTCGGGCATTACCGCTCAGTTGCTGTCGCGTGATGCATTTCCTTTCTTCTTCCTGTGGTGTATTTTCATTTTCCACTTTGTGTTTTTTTTTTTCCTTTTTTAATGTTCTTTTTCAAAGACAACAATTCTTCCTGGGAGCGCTTTCCATCTGGTGAGTTGGGATGGATCGTTACTGTCCCAGAGTCTTGTTTCCTAACATAAAGGGATTGCTTGTTCTGGATTGCAAGCCCCAGTTAAAGAAAGATCTCCTACAAAGGTCCTTTCCTCTCTCCGTAGGCGGCAGAGGATCGTACAGCGACATCGGAGGCCCAGTCATCACGACGCAAGTCACCATCCCAAAAGATGTAAGTAGAACATGATTAGTGCGGTGCCCTACGAGACAAATTAAATGCCTTCGGCGCTCCTGAACTTGTTTTCCTTTTTGCCGGGGTGCAGCTGGCGGGCTCCATCATCGGGAAGGGCGGCCAGAGAATCAAGCAGATCCGCCACGAGTCTGGGGCATCCATCAAGATTGATGAACCACTAGAGGGCTCTGAGGACCGCATCATCACCATCACAGGGACACAGGACCAGATCCAGAACGCCCAGTACTTGCTGCAGAACAGGCATGTGACTTCAAGCAAAACAACATCCTCTCACTGCAGCCGAGACGCTTCTTATGCTGTTTGTGTGGAACCAGGACAATAAAAAGTTCTTGGTTTCATTTAGTAGTTTGTGATTAATAGTAAGATTAAGATTTGTATTCTTTGTTTGGATAATTGGTATCTTTTTTTTAATTCATAAAATTACATTTTGGTTCAAACTAGTTAACCTTAAGGAAGACATTTACTAAATATACAGTATTCTGGTCTCAGGGCTAATTTAGGGCATGAAATACACAAAATCTGCCATTTGAGTCGGTAATTAGATCACTTGGTAGTACGTACGTGTGTGTGTGTGTTTACTTCCTTTCCTCCTCATCGCTCCACGATCGAGCAGGTCTGAGTTGGCGTGTCAGTTCCAGCAGACAGGATTTATTTCCAGCCTTGACCTTGGTATTCTTATTACAACTTGAGCTCCACGTGAAGGATGTCTTGCGGTTTTCAGCATCCAGTATTTACAGCTGCCCAGCCCGACTTGGGTCATGCTGCTGCTCTTATAAATATTTTCCCGTGTTTTTAATATATATGTATTATTATTATTATTATTATTTTTTTCTCTGTTTCAGTGTGAGGCAGTACTCTGGTCGGTTCTTCTAGAGGGAAGCGGAAGAGAGGGTGAAGCCATGCTGCCATACTGTTTGCTCTTTCTATTCAGAGCCAACATTCCTCTGCTTTGGGTAGATGTGTCCCTTCCCTTTAACTGTCTCCAGCTACACCACCGTTGTGTACACCGGGTTTTATTTGGAGGCCTGAAAAATCCATAATTCAGTGCTGGTATCTTCTTTTTCTTTTTATCTACTGGTGTGTAACCCATCTGTGTGATTAGGTTTGGTGTTGTGAGACGGCCCTAGGCCTTATCTACCGCATTTCAGTACAGCAAGCAGAATGTACTTTTTTTTTTTTTTTACTTTCTGTTCTTGTTTGAAAGACCACTTTCCTAACAAAGATGAATAGTTTTTGAATGGTTGAGAAACTATTAAAGTTAAATAACTGTTAAATTTACATTTTCCATCACTTGTCTCCATATGTAAAAAGTGTTGTTTTTTTTTAGATGGTGTTCGAGGGATTTGGGGAGAGTATTTATTTTGGAGCAGCGGAAATCAATAATATTCTCAATTTCACTTAGAGCAAAACTTCGGCTTTATATTTTATGCTTTAAATGGGTACTGAGGAGAAACTGGTTAGGAGTATGTGGGGCCTTTGTTCTGCATAAGCATGGATGTGTTGTTCGGAGTCAGTTTTTGGGTTAAGTAATGTGGGCTTAAAAATTGTAAACCCCTGACAGCTCATTTATACACCCCACCACACACAGACTAGGCATGGGCCTGTATGATAACGTTGTGTGAAAATGTCGCAATGAATATATTTACACAAAAAAAAAATTAAAAATAAAATATGTGATTTGATCTGCCTTTATTAAAAACAAAAAAAAGCATTTTTTTCTCAGCTTTTGCTAAAATAGTATACAGGATATCATGACATTTTTATAAACATTGGCTAAATATTTTTAGAAATTCTTCCATATTTTCTAAAAAGGCAGCAGCCTTTTTTCAGCCAGCTCACCGGCAGTGTGCAACAAGTAGTAGAGAAGATGCAGAAAAAATTTTAGACATTCAAACACAGGAACAGTGAAATTATCCATGTAGGTCTCTGTCTACCAAAAAGAACAGACCAATCAAGCAACTCTAAAGAAGACTATTTGATTGGTTTGTTGCTGGGAGGGTTTACACTGTTGACGCCTTAATTATTTTATTTTTATTTCTTTAACCAGATCAGCCTAGTAGTCCAATGCTTTTTGGTAATGACACCTTTTTCAAACATGTCTTCTGTCTGAAGGTGTAATAAATGTGAAAGACTGTTAAGGCAAAAGAAAAATATGTAAGAAAATCTACTTTTATTTGAAAGATGATTGTACAGTTTGTATATATATATTTACTTAAAACCTGTAATTTTAAGGACTTTTGGTTCGGCCCAAACTCTGTGATGTTTTCTTGGAAGAAAAAAGTGCCAAAAACACAGACTTACAAGTTTTCTTCTTTGCTACAGTGGCCCTTTTGTGCCAAACATAACAAAAATAAACATTCTCTAAAATAATATTAAAGCTACTGAAAACACAGCATTTAAAAAAAATATAAGATGATATAATAAAAATGTCAGAACGAAACTGCAAAAAAGAATTATAAATTCAAAGTGTGCCGCCTGTTTGGCCATTTTGTTCCTGCACTATTGGTCGTACTGTTTCATGACTTTCTGCAATATACAAAAAAAGCTACAAACAAAACTAAACGATGCTTATGTGCGTGGGAATGAAACGGGTAAAAAGGGATGTAAAGGTGCACAATTGGTGAAGGGACAAATGAACTTAGTTATTTGTAAATGTATTTCTAATTAAATCTTTCCTACGCGTTTTCTGATTATGGAATTATATTTTGAATCTTTTACTGTAAAAAAAAGTACACTATCAACTTTTTCATCAATATTTGGTTTTCTGTCACTAGAAAGGATGGATTTACTGTTGTCTAGCCTCAGTCTCAGATCTGTTCACTCGTGTACTTTTTTTCATTTTTGAACTTTTTTTTTTTTTTTTTTTTTTTTGAAAGCATCCCTGAAGATGCAGTTCTGTGTGAGGCGGATGCAGCTTTGCGAGTCCACAAGTGGTAAATTCTGTATTTGCTCTCAGATATTTGTAGTAACTCCAAGTGTTAAGTAAATAAAGTCTGTGTCACAGCCCTGAGTCCGTGTGCGTGTGTGTATGTTTTTGTTTGTTTCTTTGGAGGAGCACGGTATATGTAAGGAGATGATGCATTATGATAAAAGGTGAAGCGTCTGCCTGTTGCTCTGTTAAGTGCATCCGTTGCTATCTGGCTAGCACCGGAAATGTGTTCTCCTATAATGTAATATTGAAAGCCCACACGGTTTCCCATCACAGCACAGCCCTCTGTCACATGGTTTAGTTAGTTGGGTTTCATCCAAGGTATCAGCAGGTCGGGAACTGAACGCACAGAATAACGGCAGCTACAGAACATCCAGAAAACGAGTCAGGCGGATATTTTTTATTTTTTATCTATTTTTTTAATTCCACAATCTATTTTTCTTTCTCTTTCAAAACGTTTTGAAGAGGAGGGGGAGAAAATCCAGCATAATAAACCCGCCACGCCCGGAGCTCTGCTGTAGGGTTTGTAAAGACTCGCTACGCAAAAGTTGTTACACAAACTATGTTTCCTCTTCACTAGAGAGAGAGAGAGAGAGAGGGGAACTTAACAGTTGTTCTCGCACTTCCTCAAATTGCCTTGCTCTTGCTTCCAGGTCAGAATAAGAGTGTTTTGAAGTTGCTCAAATGAGACATTTGGCAGTCTAAAATAATGCAGATTTAAAGGTGCGCGGGGCTCTCCGTTCCTCACTTTTGCTGTGCGTGTCTCTGCCATGTAAGGTGAAGCGTTTTCCTGGAGCAATGACGCTGAGCTCCATGGGGACCTGCTGCCTCAGTCCAGAGGCCAAAGAAGCTCGGAGGATCAACGCTGAGATTGAGAAGCAGCTCCGCAAGGACAAGAAGGATTCCCAACGCGAGTTTAAGCTCCTGCTGCTGGGTGAGGGACGAAAACCGCAGTTTGTCTGTCTAATAGCTTCTGGCTATTAACATATGATTAGGAGTTAGGAGAAATATTTGCCAGCTCCCACCCCCCCAACTCAAATTTTCATTAGGCTTACTAATTAATTGTAAAAACACTGCTTTTTATTCAGTATTTCTACTAGATAACTCAGGGTTTTCACATTTGTATTTCATAGGTAATACTCATGCAACGACAACCGCGCCATTGTGTGATTTGCACGCAGAGTTCATCTATCTCACTGTTGAATCGTGTAAATTGCACCAAAACTGAAAGTGCACATTCGCTATTAATTTGTATAAAAAAGGCAGTGCAGTAAGTAGCAAGAAATGATCACCCGATTCTTTACATATTCTCTTTAAAATTAGCAAATAAACGGTCCCGTGTTTCACAATATTCAATCAAATACTGATGGTAAACATGGACTGCTGAGGGAAAACTGGTTTAAAGTTTTACTGTGCAGTTTATAGGTTCAGTTACATCAAACGCAATGCAAAGTCTGAGGCTGTTCCAAGGCGGAAAACGACAACAAAAGCAATCATAAACCAACCACTTTCATGATTGCTTGTTAATAAAAAAAAATTAAGGAATAACCAGCCAGTCAACAGCTCAGTGCTCTGATAAATCTAGATGAGGTGAAGAAAACCTGACGAAGTTCAAACTGCGCATAAGAATCCGGAAGATTTAGTTGACTTTGAACGTGCTTCAGAAACTGCTGCTGCTGCTTTGCGGGCTTCACGCGCGAAATGCCTCTCGCGTTCATAAGATCCGTAAAAGAGAAAATATTCATCCAACAGCAGTTGTGTGGACCAAGATGTCTTGCTGATAATCACACGTCAGAGCAGTTCTACAGGCACAGAAGTGGCTCAAATAATGACTCATTAGATCCAGGGAACGCATACCATTTCTAAACCTTGTAACAGCCGTGCTAAGGAGGCTCTACGCCTTCATTGTCAGTTAAGAACAGGAAACTGAAGCAACAATTCACACAGGCTGACAGACTGGACAATACCAGATTGGATGAGCGTTTGATTTCATCTTGATTTCAGGTTGAGCATCAGAAAATGGCGTAAACATGAGAGCAGTGGATCCATCCGGCCCGTATCGAGGGGTTAGACTGGCGTAGTGGAGTGGGGAGGATGTTTTCTTGGAACATCTTAGGCGCCTCAGTACCATCTGAGTCTCGTTTAAACATCACAACAGTATTTATGTGCTCTTTGTGAAGCACTTAGTGGTTTTTTATATTTAGAAACTGCCATATAAATAACATTTACTTGCTTACTTAGAGCGTACCTGTTCGTTGGGGGCTACTCGCAGCAGTATAACACACCGTGTTACAAAGCTCAGAGCACCTCAAACTGTTACAAAAAGGCCATCGCAGTCACTAAATCTAAATCCAATAAAAAACATCGCTGCGATAGTGTTGGAGCAGGAGATTCGCATTACGCTTGTGCAGCTGACAAATCTGGACCAGCTGTGTGTCGCTGTCGTGTCAGTGTGATATCATCTGAGGAATGTTTCAGACACTTTGCTCAGTCTTTGGCGGCTATAATCTTTCCAAGGAACAAAATCGGCAACGCTGTGAACATGCTGAAAGGCATTTTCGCAAAGACTGACTCATGCGGGATCTGTTCCCGTTACTTCGAATTCAAGAGCGAGCATGACTTTGAGTCTCCTACATTACAGCTGCACTTTGACAATTTATGTGCTGGTCATAAGTGTGATCCGTAAATTTAGACTCGTCAGCTACAGACACAAAGTGCTGCCTCTTCAAGATGTCGCAACGATGTTGGCAATACCGTCACAGTCTGAACAAACAAAGGAAATAACGCTAGAGAAACAAATACAACCAAATTGCATGTGTTTAAGGCAACCAGTTTCATAATACCGTTTAGAGGCAAAACTTCTTGTTTTTGTAAAGTAAAGACCACATTAGGCATTACGGTTTTTAAGATGTCTTTTTTCTGCTTCCTTCTTACGAGTGTGAGAAAATCACCCAAGTTTTAAAATGAGATGATCTCGTTTCCTTCGCTTCTGTCGGTGGCCAGGAACTGGCGAGAGCGGGAAGAGTACCTTCATCAAGCAGATGAGGATCATCCACGGCCGCGGATACTCTGAGGAGGACAGGAGAGGCTTCACCGGACTGATTTATGAGAACATCTTCACAGCAATGCAGGCCATGATCCAAGCCATGAGCACATTACAGATCTCTTACAAGTATAAGCACAACCAGGTAGGGCCTGACATCTTTTTCTTCCTTCCTTCCTTCCTTTCTTTTTTTTCCTTCTTCTTCATTTCATTGTCGCTTCAGTCAGACAAAGTGAGAAAAGAGGGTTTACTCCACATCGCTTCAGAGAGATATTCGCAAGGTTTACTTACAGAGCATGCGAAAGGCGCATTACAGTGCACAACACACCCCGGCCCGGAAAAGCACTTCTGGTCATTTTCAACAGTGTTTAGGCTTGCAATGTTGCTGCCAGCGAGTTTTGTCTCCTTGCAGAGCAGGGCTGTCTCTCAGATGAACGCACGGCGGAACACGGCAGGCCTGCTGAAGGCAGACAATTCCCTATAAATCCCACAGGAATTTGCACCTGTCACGCCGATGACAGGAGCACATTAGTCTCTTAAATTTGCTGGCCCGCAGAAGTATACAACAGTTAAAAAACAGCGAGAGTTTCAGGACGGGACGAGAGGCAGACGTGAGGCGCTGAGTCTGAGTCAGCTTTTGACTTATAAGGGGATGGAGATCCGTGTCGGCTCAGAGGACCGAGGATGGATCTGTAACCCAGAGATAACATATTAGTTTAAATGTGATGATGGTGGAAAGCAAGTGAGCTGCGTCGAATTGGAGTGAATTCGACTTAAAAACAGAATCGCTAGTAGAGGCATTAATTGGGCATTCAAACTGTTGCAGGAGGGATGACCTCCAGCACTGCTCTTTGTTTTTGTGCTGTCGAATAAATGTCTGACTGAACGCATGCTGCTGTCCAACTTCTCTTTTATCTGTGCGGCGTAGAAGACGTGCAGCAGTTTCCACTCCACTTTAGCAGCCTGCTCAACATTTATTTTGCTTCTATTAGCTATAGAGACTCAAACGCTGTATCTAGTGGAGAGGGAGAGAGAGAGAGAGTGACAGAGACATTCTTTTATGATCCACGTTTGTTTATTTGAGTCTCTAGTTCTGATGCCGTCGCTTTAATTGATTCTTTTTGCTGATAAAGCTGAAGATTAGATAACCTGTACCACTTTGTGCCTCGAAGCGGTTGAACGTTTAACTGTGCTTTGCTACGGACACACTCTGCAACTGAGGCATCTTCTGGGTTTATCTGTGGACAACAGGACTCTGTGTACAGAATGTATGCCCGTCTTACAGGAAGCTGTCAAAAGGAGACTAATAGGGCTGTTGCATTAATTACATGATCCATTTATCATCTGATGCACAGCGCCTTGCAGAGGTATTCACACTCTTTGTGGTTTTTGCATTTACAGCACAACCACAATCTTTCAGGTATACACTTAAAATGTGGTGTGGATTGCACTCACTCACTTTTACGTTTTATTTATTTATGGTATGTTTATGTATTTTGGATATTTAAAATGTCCACAATGTTACCACAGTAGTTTCTGGGATTATTAATCGAAGCATATTCGTGTCTTACAATGGTCCAGTCATAGTCCAGAAGTAGCTCCGGTTGAAAATTTGTGGCAAATCTTAGAATCGGTGTTCAGTCTGACAGAGCTTGAGGTGTTTTGCAAAGAAAAACGCACAAAATGTTTAGTTTCTGGATGTGCAACGTTGTTATAAACATACACCAAACATATTCACATCTGTAATTGTACAAAGCATTGGCTCGGATCGACTGAATGAAAACACAGGTTACAGTTTTGTCAGATTTTTATTGCCTAAAAAGTTAAAGATAGATCTTTTTTTCCCGCCCCCCACTTCACACACATGCTCTACTTTGTTTGTGTCTGTCTCGTAAAACCCATGCGAATAACACTGAAGCTGATGGTTGCAGCATGGAAGAATGCGTAATGTTTCAAGGTGTGTGAATACTTTTTGCAAGGCACAGAAAAAACATGACTGGCTTCCAGAACTGTTTTGAATCTGTCAGCAGTAAAGAAAAAGTAGTTCTCCAGAACAGTGATGGCGGAAATATGACACGCGGTAATAGTTTGGATAAAACTGAAAAAAGCTTGCAGTTGCGCCGTTTCGGGAAATATGATTCCAGCAGGAAAATGTTGCACAGCATCCGAATCATTATGGTGGGAACACCCGGCTCTTGGCTGGGAGCTTCCACCTTCAGCCTCTTTTACTGTGTTTTCTCATCAAGCTTATAGCAGGAAGGAAGCCCTTCATTTGGGCCGGTTCATTACAAACCAGCAGGAAACATGATAAAAATCATCGAGACAATGTTTTTAAAACAGCTCCTGGAGCTACATTTAATGAGTCCTGATAAAATCTGCATGCAGCAGCTGTCACTTTGGCTGGAAATTCTTCATACTTGCCGGCTTGCTTTTTGTTTAAATTTGAGGCTGAACGTTTTTTGGAATATTGGATGTAAAACACCAAATGCCAGTGTTAATAACGTAAAACTGTGCACGACACATCAAGCATCAACGCGTAAATATTTAAATAGACGGCAAAGCAGCGATATTCTCCCGCATATTCCTACAAATAACTTAATTAACTGCAGCGTAGGCAGATAAAGGATCCGACAAACAGCTCTGTGATGTTTCTGTTTGATGGAAGTTAATGATGGTTTAATCAGCCTGTTGAGTTTATTTACAGTGGACTAAGATGCATCACCTAACAACGGCATTTTGCTCAGATTAGCGGCTTGTGGTAGGAGCACTATTAGAAGGACCGGTGCAAATCCGCCGCTTTATGAATCATGGATAAAATGTTTGCCGTGACACATTACGCGTCGAGGCAGCTGGGAATGTTTCCTGATGGAGATGTAAGTCGTAAACAAGCGTGGCTGAATGTAAACGGACCGTAGTAGTTCGCCATAAATGATCGCCAAGCTGCTCCAACCCTAAGTAGATTATTGGTGAAGGCTTGCGCTGAAGGTCTGCAGCTGAAGAACTTCAAACAGGAAGTTGGAAGAACCAATTTTCAAAGCAAGAGGTGCTGAACTGAACTTTACGTTATTGTTAAAAGTTCACAAAGGTTCTGACAAGATAAATGTTGTTCCACTGCGTCGCTGCTCGTCTCCATTTTAGACTCAAAAAAGACATTGTTTAAAAATAACATTTCCTTTTTTATTGTTTTGGTTGTTATTTAGCACTCAGTTTTAAGTATATTTAGGTGACAAATGTTTCTCTAGATTTATAGCTTTAGACATTTTAATAGCTATGTTTCTAGCTTGTAAAGCAGCTTGGTAAGTATTGTCATTTTGAAAGTGCAAGTAAACAAAGTTATAGATTCAGCCACAAAGCTGCAGTGTATTTTAATAAGATTTTTAATCAGATTTAATGTGATAGGTCAGTAGAGTGGTCTAGATAATGTTGGAGCAGAAGCAAAACGATAAATTATTTTATTTGCAGATGAAATCTGAAAAATGAGACTCGGGTTTTGTTTTCATCACTGTTAACTCTGAGACATCCACAAATAAAATCTGGTCCAACAAAATCCCCTCAGAATGTACTGAATCAGTAAATTAATATAATTAAGTAGAGTTCGACTGTGTGAAATTTAATCTTATAATTAATCCAGTTTTTTCTGTAGAGGTCTCAGAGGTTTGTTGTAGAACATGTTTGACCAAACGGCATCATGAGATCAAGGGATCAGAGCAGACAAGTCAGGGATCAAGTTGTGGAGAAAGCAGAGACCTGCAGCTCAGGAAGAAGAATTTGTGAAATGGAAAAATCATTTGTTCTCAGTCTGTAGTGATGGCGATCCTGTTGCAGAGTTGTATTTTACAATGTGACCTTTGCACGTCAAACTGACTTTACATTCTGGAGTTCAGGACAACGCCGACTTGATCAGTGCCGTTGATGTGGAAAACGTGAAAACGTTAACAAACCCGTACGTGGAGGCCTTGGAGAGCCTGTGGAATGATCCGGGAATTCAGGAATGCTACACTCGGCGGAGGGAATACCAGCTCTCAGACTCGGCTAAATAGTGAGTGTAAACAGACTAATAACTCCTTAAACGTTGTCAAATAGTTTACTGTGCTTAATTCTTCAGTATTCAAAAAAAAAAAAAAAAAAAAGAGTCTAATAATAATTCCTTTTTTTAGTTTTCACCAAATGTCTTAGAAGCAAATACTGAGAATTCAGTTTTCAATAAATAATTCAATTCTACTTTTTTATTTTTCTTTTTTTTTAACTCTGCAATATCTCCCATTGCCTCCAGCTATCTCAGTGACTTGGCTCGAATTGCTGATTCCGCTTATCTGCCAACCCAGCAAGATATCCTGAGGGTCAGAGTGCCTACAACAGGAATAATAGAGTATCCCTTTGACCTGGAGAATGTGGTGTTCAGGTGAGTTTTATTGTTTTTGTTTTATGCTTCTCTGGGTTTCTTGCTGCTTCAATATCACAGGTACAACATCTGGTTTGCTGAGGCAAGTATTGATATATTTGTTGGGAATCAAAAAAAAAAAAGCACGTAGCTCATTTATTTTGTTATTTTTGTCACATATTTTCGTTTTTTTTTTTTAGTTTTATCATTTCAAATAAATATAAACAGTTGATGCAAATGGCGGATGAAGTTTGTTAGCACTGTAGAGACTACATAAAGAAGAAGAATCGCATTTGGGGAACAGACCAACGACGATCGGGACTGATGAACAGTGTTTGTCTACTTTGTTGCTTTGTTGCTCGGCAACTAAACTTAACGTGCTAAAAATGCGGGGAAAGTCGTACGGGCAACGGCCATTTCGCTCTCACTCAAAAATGCGGGTCTATTGAATGAATTCATATTTATTTTACACAGACCACACTGGAAGTGTCGTTCTACTGATCAGTGTTCCCTTCCTCAGTTTGCTCACTTATTTTATTTTATTTTTCTCTCTTTTTTCTTCATCCAAGCATTCCCAACTCTAAAAAAAAAGAAAAAGTATTCTTGGCTGCAGATGATTGATCTGTTCTGTATTGCTGTACTTCAGTCTGGGTTAATGGGGGGGGATTTGACATCCAAACTTACACACAACACAGCGAAGGACCACGTTTTTACTCAATGACTCTTACCTTGTCCAGAGCTGACACTCGGCTCTGGTGCTTGAATTTTTTTGAAACTCATTCCCTGCAGCAGCTCTAATATTGAAGGGCAGCTCTGTTTGTGCAGCCTGCATTTGCTTTGGCTTTGAATAACAGCCGACAGGCAGACAATGGAGACAGCACTGACTCCACCACTTCCTGTAAACTAGCATTCTATATAGTCATCCGTCCTCACAGCGGGTTGACAATTTTTTATTTATTTTTTTCATGGCTGTGATCCACTAATCATTGCAGCTCCATCTTTGACTGGGTACATTTTCTCTGCATTGTTTCAGGCACGGCTTCGTTATCGGGGCTTTTCCGAAATTCTTTAGAGCCATTTCTCATCTTTGTTTGGGAAAACGTCTGCCTTTAAAGAAAGTAATACAAAATTAAAACAATTTTGGTAGTCTTAACTGACCTAAAACAGGTAAGCTTAGTCTTATCTTGTTATGGGAGGAAAAGAGGTTGCTACCACACACTGTAAAAAGTTATTACAGTGGGTGCTTGGCGAAGTACTACTCTGTGTCTGGGAACGTAATGCGAATGCCATGCGTTGCAAAAATAAAAGCTCAAAATGCGAGGCACATGGTTGACGAATTAGGAGTGATTGCTTACGCTTTTCCTGTTGTCGTATTTGCATGATTTCCAATTAGTCAGACTGCAGGAAATACCTGATTGCTGCTTTGAATATGACGACCAAACAGAACATGGATCTCATTGCACAGAAGCAGTGAAGATGTTTTAAGGCCCTTACGTAATAGTTACATGATAAAAGAAACTTTTACCGTCTCTGTATTTGCATGGAAAATACTGCAGTTCACACGCACTCCATCACTGGGATAGTTGTGGGTCATTATGAGTAGTAGGAGGCATTTTAGGAAGTGTAAAAGCTTAATCTGCGTCTGATTTGTTACTCAGTCCAGATTCTTAAACTCTTTAGGTTGAGGCGTGTTTGAAATCAGCAAATAAGCTAAATGTGCGGATGCACTCCTGGTAACGCTTGGATAAACGTCTTATAGCAAGCAGCAGAAAAACCGTCCGCTTTCTGTGCGAACATTTGGATCACTCATCGGAAATAGAGCTCATATACACTGGTTTCCCAGCATGGCCCTGGCTTTTCAGTATCGTTTAAACATTTTTAATAGAGTTGAGGTCTAGAGAAGAATGCTTTAGATGAATAATGCTGGTCTGTTTTGTTCATTCAGTCGCTAGTTTAATGATTGCGCTTTACATGATAAAAACGTAGCACACTAAACAAACGAACAACATTACGTTATGTTGGCCGAATAAAGAGAACTAAGAAAAAGTCGCCTGTTCGAAAAACCCTGCTGTGTTCCTATTTCACCAACCTTATTGGTGAGAATGGGCGAAGTTGAAGAATGTACATGTAGTTCTGCAAATTTTTGTTCATTATACACTTCATTTATTTTTGTGACGCAACAACCCCACTAGCGGAGTGAGTGCCAAAACCTGACACTACTACCACCATGCTTGGCAGCTGGTTCATTGTTTGAAAACCTCACCTGGATCCCTTCATGCGTAGCCGTAGATTTGCCAGTGTGGCCAAACAGCTTCATTCTTCTTGTCCTTAAGCTCTGCTGCAGATCTAAATGGTGCTCGAGGGAGTTGACTTTGCAGCAAGACGTTCATTCCTGGTCAGCACATTTTTGACCGCACCTCTAGTTAGTTCTCCTCCCAAACATTTTTTTTTTATCATCTCCCTAACATGCAGTCTGTAGACGTTTGATTGCGCCATGATGTCTTTTTAATCGTTAATCTGTTTTTTTTGTTGTTTTTTTTCCCTTTATGAACCCACATCCCCTCAGGATGGTGGATGTGGGTGGCCAGCGTTCTGAAAGGAGGAAGTGGATCCACTGCTTTGAGAAAGTCACGTCCATCATGTTCCTGGTGGCGCTCAGCGAGTACGACCAGGTCCTCGCCGAGTCCAGCCATGAGGTGAGAGGCAGGGTGTTGCTGCTGCTGCTGCTCCTGCTGCTGCTGCCTACAAAATAAAACTTTTTCCCTTTCACACAGTGTCTTATTATTTGTGTGCATGGGGGATGTGAAAGAGGCTCACTTTGGGAAGATAAAAAAAGAAAAAAAATCCTTTTAAGGGACACAAAGGGAGTTTGTTCCCTTTGTTTAAAGCCAAACGTGTTAGGTGGAAATGATGACCCAGATTTCTCAAGTCCGACACCAGCTTGATGCCTCTCTCCCTTCTCCACCCACTCTCCCTCTCTCTCTCTCTTTCTCTTTCTATTTCTCTTTGGTCACGCTCAAAAACCTCCTCTCAATGTTCCTTTGTGGCTGTGCATGAGGTTGACCTGCAGGGGGAGCCCTTTAGTCACTCTGCTCTGTGGAAAACTGTTTTCTGTGACTAATCTGGCAGCCAGCTGAATTTGCTCACACCCATCGCCGCTGAATTACGACTCTCGGGTTATTCTCCTAATGTTTTCACTCTTGCTCGTGTGTTTCCCACAGAATCGGATGGAGGAGAGCATGGCCTTGTTCGAGACGATCATAAAATATGAATGGTTCAGCGATTCCTCGATCATTCTGTTTCTCAACAAGATGGATCTGCTGAAGGAAAAAATCATGTATTCACATTTGGTGGACTACTTCCCAGAGTTTAAGGGTAAGGGCTCACATGTTAAAAGTACGGCATCCTACACACCTACTTCCCCCTTCGCATGTGTAAAAAGCCTCGTGATATCACAATGTTTCACTTTATTAATTTAAGTACATTTATATGGGATATGAATTTTTTAAATTACAATCACTGGTGTTGGAAATAGCTATAAAATTAATCTAATTTCGAGGTGTAGTCTGATCTGTTTTATACACATGTACTAAACAAAGTTGATAATGCTTAATGTGAGAAGATTGGTACAGTGCATACAAGAAGAAAGCCTAACACACAGAGTTAGAAAACAGCCACCTTAGTGACACCAAATCTCCATAAACGATCATTTTTGAATATTTTTCTTTGTATTTTTAGGGGAAACTTTGAGAAATTTCTGAATTTAAACTCTATCTGAAGAAAGTCTGTCCTACCGTAACAAATGTAAACTGTGGAGTCGGGAATCCAGGGGTGGGATTTTAACTTGGAACAATGAGACTAATTTTGAGCCTTACACATTGAGCTAAAGTCAAATATAATTGTAATGTATCATCATAATTATATGATTATTTTAATCATAATTGCAATTCTAATGACTTACAATCATAATTATAATTAGCTGTACTATAAGTAATAAAAATAGTCATATAACATTGGCAACATTGCTCCAGGTGGGTGGCTTGAAAACAGAAGATTCTAAAAAAAAAAAAACACCTCATGCCCTCGTGGTTTATGTGGCATCACGAACTCTTTGAAATGGCGGGAGGTTTTATATAAGAAAATCTGTTGCCCTCTACAAAAAAAAAACAAAAAAAAACAGAAAAAGAGTGCAGACAGACCTTTCAGTAAACACTCATCCCAGCAATGAGCAAGAGAGATTATGCAAGGAGGGATGGACAAAGATCCAAAAGATTAGAGATTAGATTTCTCTGCCATTCGGGAAGATTACTTAAAGGCTTTTTTGACACATCTTTACCAGGGAACACCCTGAAATCATTCTTATGCATCTGCAATTGTCACCTTACATCTATTTAACTCAAGTGAAATCAGCAGTTTTGCTCTGTAAATGTACACTAAGCAAAATGTCCCGCTGGTCCCCTCTCCCAGGTCCCCAGCAGGACGCGGAGGCTGGACAAAAGTTCATCCTGGACATGTTCCTCAGTCTCAACGTGGATGATGAGAAAACGATCTACCCCCACTTCACGTGCGCCACAGACACAGAGAACATCCAAATTGTCTTCAAGGACGTGAAGCACTACATCATGCACTTAAACCTGATAGAACACAACCTGATGTGAGCGCCTGGCGCTACCGCTGTAATTTAATCGTCTCAGCGCAGCCTCCCCCCCCCCACTGCCACCCTGGACTGGGAGGGCTCTGCAGCATCTCTGTCCGCTGCTGCCGCTGCCGCCGCCGCTACTGCTGTTCCTGCTGCTCCACACTTTAATCCAAAACAGGAAATTGAAGCGCTTCAGAGCTTGTCATCGAATGACTGTACAGCCGATGCATTTCAAATTTTCTTGTTAGACTCTGTAAGTGGATGTCTTCGGCTATTACAAAGTGTGACCTGCCAATTAAAGTGCTGGCTTTCAGCGGAGTCTAATATAGCGTGCACTCTGGAATTTATCGAGCGCTACGTGGACATTTTGGAGCGGTGGAAATGCACACTGGCAGATTAATAGGGGGAAACATATTTTACTGGCTTCGAATGCCTCGGAGGAATTGTGATGCAGTAGATCTTCCTTCTGGGAAGCTGCGGGACTGGCGGCTCTGTAAAGACCAGCATCACTAAAGTGGTGTTTGTCTTTAAGGTTTGAGTTTGAAGCTTAGATTAGGGCTTGACTAAAAGGGAACAGGTCAGGGAGAACACTAATAACACCGTTCATGTAAAAGAGCACAGCGCATGTTGCTGCATTGCTGCATGAGCTTCAGTTAGTGAAGTCTGGATCAGCACTTTGGATCTCCCTGTGGTGACTTTGCTAAAGAAAACTTTTTTCGGGGGCGGCATCCATGTTTTATGTTTGGTGAGGGGGGGGGGCTTTAAAGGGATATCCAGCATTTTGGAGCCAATTTACTGGGTAGTAAAAAAAAAAAAAATCCCATTCCTTCAGGGATTGTTCTTTTTTTTTTACTCTGAAGTCTTTAAAGTTGCATAATTTTTTTAATTTGATTAGATTTTGCACATGCTGTATGATATGGTGGTGCTTTGGTTTGACTTTGTCTTATTTCTCTGAGCATTAAAGTCAGTGTTAAAAGGTAAAATCCTGAAGTGAAAATTATTTTTGATCAAATGTATCAAAGAGAAAGTACTTATGTTTACACAACCATGTTCTTCTTAACAATAAAAGTGTGAGTTGGAATCAGATGTTTTCCTTCTCTGTACTTTTCTTTATGTGAATACTGCTCTAAAATGGAGTCCTTTGGACAAAATCATTAATAAAAAGAAAACTCCAACCCATTTGAAAAATACAGTTCAATTACTTTTTTTTTTCCCTATAGAAGCTCAGAAAAGTTTGAAACTTCAGCCATTTTATTGACTGTACAGACGTTGAGTTTTAGAGCACCAGATGTGGCAGGTGTTTCCTCAGTGTGTCCGTCCAGGACAGATCTAAATTAGATTTACCTGCAGCTGAAAAACATGCATTAGAGGGACAACTTGAGGAGTTCAACACAACAAATAATTCACGTGAGACTACGGATCTAAAAGAGGTTGCAATACACCACACAACAGCTGCAGTAGAATGTATTTATTTTGATTAAGCTAGCCAAAGAAGTAAAGCATAAACAAGGCTGTGTCATGAACTACATTCAGCAGATGTTCCTAACAAACCACAATACCGCGATAAAACACCTTCCAGTACTTTAATCTGCAACTATTTTCTGAATTACGTGGGCAAATTTATATATATATATATATATATATATATATATATATATATATATATATATATATATATATATATATATATATATATATATATGTTGTTTTTCTACTATCTGAAAAACAACAGATAGTAGAGACTGAAAGATTATTTTTAATTGTTAACCATTTGAATATATCTATGTATATATCGTTCTTTTATACCTATGAAAAAGGAACCAAATGAAGAAAATAACTGACAGAAACATAAATGTTCACACCTAAGAGACATAAATCTGCTGTTGAGGGCTGTAATTGCAGTTGTAATGAATGATCTTTTGTTTTTTTTGGTTTTTCTTGTATGTTTCTTTCCTGATCAGTGAGATTTTGTATCTCCTGAGTGACGGAGGGGATGAAGCGTTCATGGAGATGGGAAAGTGAATTTTGCGAGGAATCATGTTTCTGCCTTGATTTGTGTTGCGAGACTTTTTGTTTTCTGTTTGCTAGCGATACAAATTGAACCAAGATGTGACACTGAAGGTGGGGATGGATTCTATAAGTGGTCGGTAAACCATGACAGAAAAAAAAAAGTTTTTTTGAGAGCTTTAAAAATATCTCTGCTTCCTGAGAAGATGGCGGGGCTGGACAGCTTTGTTATAAATACTGTCAGAGTGTATTTGGAGGGGCAGATAGTTGTCCATTTGTGTCCCCCGACACGCAAACCTCTCTATCTGATCAACCTGAGTTCCCTTTAAAAGCTGCGATGTGGCTGCTGCTCTATCTCTGGAAGAGTAAGAAAAATGTTTTTTTGTCTTTATGAAATCAGACATTTATACGTAAATGTCTGATTTCAAATGTATTTTTTATATAAATATATAAATATTTTTTCTTTAAGTTTGTGAAGGCAACTAAAATATGAAATAAAAAGTTTAGGATCATTGGGTCAAGCATACAATCTTTATATATTTGACAGATAAAGATGATCTACTTGTGTAGATACTTCTGCCGGTTTGTCTTCCTGGCTGCATCCTCTGCTCATCTGGAGTCGTCCTCTTCCTGAAATCCTCCGCTGTGATGCATCCATCTGGCTGGAGCTCTCAGGAGGAGGGCCGTATTTTTAGGCCTGTAAACAGAGACCTACATTGTGCCAAAGAACCATTATTTTCAGGGGACAAACACTTAAACTGCTGCAGCAGTTATGCTCCTCTTGTAAGGACATTTAAAAGCCGTGCTTCCCAAAGTGGAAGTCGTAAACCATATGGAGAATTAGAGGATTTTTAAATAGTAGAAATCAAACACCTGAAAATATGTGCTGTGGATATGATGATAAAGCTATTGTAAACATTTTGTGAAAGCTGCTTTTATCTCCTTGAGTTCACGCTAACAGCTTTCCTGTGCTCGCTGAAGAAAAGCAGCTTCGCAGCAGGATGCTGGCGCTGAACTATCCCTGCAGGGATGGTGATTTCAGGGAGATGTGCAATGTTAGTTTTCCTCCACATAAAATCTTTTCGATGTAGAAAAAAAAAGCTTTTATTTTATTTTATCTAGTCAGAGCATCCTTTTCCAAATGTTTGCTTTGTTCGTTATAAAGTTTATGGCAAATTCGTAAGCTTATCAAAAACCCTCGACTGACACACACCATTGTGTATCTGTCTTGCATTTCATTTGCATATTAAAAGGGTGTTTTAATTAGATAAAGCTCCAGCATAGTGAATCTGTAGCATATCTAGTTATTCTTCAGGTAAGCAGGTCGCCACTGATGTTTATTATACATCAAAACTTATTGCGGCATCTCGTTAAATAATCTCAGTAAATAAAATAATCATTTAAGAACTGAATTTTTAGTTACTAATGCTATTTTTGTCCAATCAAAGTTAATTTGATGCAAGTGTAACCAAAACAAAGTACAAGTGTGAAAGCAGTTTAAAGCCTATTAAAAAAATCAAAAGGAAAAAAGAAGTTTATAAAAGCCTTTGGCTCAAATCCTGAACCAAAATTTAATAGGCTAGTAATTAAACTTTTTTTTTTTTGTTTTGCTGTTTCTATGACACTCAGTTTGGAAAATGTTTGTTAAATAAGTATATACAACCGCTATCATTGACAACCGATGCTTGATGATAGATAAACTTGGGTTGCTATGGGCATCGTGTTCTTTGACTGACCAAATGAAGCTTTTTGCAGAAGGTAAGTTTGCTAAGAACACATGTCATTTGTAATGTAAGAAATATTGTACCACTGTGAAGCAATTGAAATGAATGTCAAAGACTCATCCGTCCTTAATAGTCAGCCATTATGGTAAAATGTGGCTGTTTTATGTGCTTATAGGTTCTACAGAATGATTTATATCTGTTTTCATCAATATTTTGTTGTACTTGAAATACATGTTTGTCTTTCGCTTATCAGCTCTTGTCCCGAATCTCTCATTCTCATCAGATTCACTCTTTCCATTCTAGTGTTGCTGCAAATTGTCATCAACATTTGTTCTAATTTATCTTCACTATGTTGAACTGTAAGTGTGAATTCTACCATTTTCCTTCCTAATGAGTTATAGGATGAAGAGACATTTATTTTTAATGAGGAAAAGTTGTTTATGGAATAAATATAAATGACTATGTTTGCTGTCAAAACTCATTAAATTCTACAAAGAAAAGGAAAAGATGAATGTTAAACTTTTGCACATTATCAATACCTAAACAAACTAACATTTTAGTGACTCGATGGTTATATTATAGTAGCAGCTTTACATTATTTCATTTCAACAAGTTTCTATTATTTAATTTGGTAAATAAAAAGCATATAACAATCAAGAATTTAAGAGTTCACATCTACTATTGCAGAGGTTCCCAAACTATGGGGCGCGCCCCCTATGGGGGGGCGCTGTGCCGTTGCAGGGGGGCGCGGGAAGCCGCATGGATGAAAAAAAAAACAAAAACACGAACGCTGTATGCGCTGGGTTTTTACCTTAGAATGGCCAACTCTCTGTTATTCCTCTGTCAATTTGATACAGTAGGGGCCACACTTCACATATTTGTGTCCTCTGTCACTTTTATCAGCAGTTAAAACTGTTTAATCCGTTGTTAACATGTGGTAACCTGTTTTTCCGAGCCGCCTTTAAACGCAACATGAGCGCTATGACCATAGACATCAATACGTATTAATGTATTGATGCGAGCTATGACGCTCGCACTGGGTTTGGAAACCACTGGGGGGGCCCAGGAGAAAAAGTTTGGGAACCACTGGGGGGGCCCAGGAGAAAAAGTTTGGGAACCACTGTGTCCTAGTGAATATCAGTGTATATTTTCTTGGGCCAGTGAGGTTTTCCAACTCTGAAAAAAACCGTTCACTTAAAAAAATGTTTGGAAAATAGCTTCCTTGAAGCCATGTTACAAATTAAATCACTCATCATTCAGAAGCATTAAATCTGGGGAGTTCTGAAAACTATACCAACTAAATTAGAGTTTAGTATTTGGTTCATTTTGACTTATTTAATTGGCAAAATGTCATTGTCATTAGCTAAAATTTTCTGTTGCAAGACAATCTTTTCAATTCTTTATAAATGAAACTAAACAACATAACAGATTGTACAACTTTCCCATTTGTGTGAAAGCAGTAATAACTATAAACATGTGCTTTTTTCCCCCATGTGATTCAACCTTTAGCTCGTTTTTATTGTTTATTTCTGTATTGGTACAAAAATACACCTGGCTTTTTGTTCAATTAATTTTGAAATCCTAGTGAAATTTTGAAAAGAAAAAGAAATCCATGGGGATTATAAGAATGACGTTTTGTTCTAGAGGGAGTCTTATCACTTATATTTTTACAGAACTAACTAGACTGGCTTGCTTTGTCTTTTCCTACAATACTTCTTTGAACTCTGGACCATTTATTACTTTTTTAAAATTTATCAGGTTACATTTAACTAAGCTGAAATGTCAAAGACCTACATTTACAGTAAATCCCATGTCAATGGGCTGACAGCATACACAGAACAAGTCATTCTAGGTGTGCCTGTAATCTGTTTGTCTTTCCTGTCATGCTCCCTTCTGGTAGCCAATGAAAGTGAATAATTATTAATAAATACTATGCTCGGCTGCATTTTCTCTATCTTCTTCAACACCTCATGGTTAAAGAAACATTCTCTATCCTAGTTCTGCTTGACAACAGATTTTTCTAAACGCTGGTTGGAAAAAACAAAAAGACAGTTAGCAGTTTCAGCCTTTCCCTTCAGTCGCAGTCTGCCTCCTGCATGGCAGGAATGCTAAATGTAGCAAGACTGGAAAAGTGACTCGTGACAATCAGCCTGTTCTGAGATGTCCCTCACTGGGCAGGTATGAAAAACATCAACGTGCATTCAGTTCACCGATCACCTCCTTCACAGTTTGACAAACCGCAGCTGATTAACTTGGTCAACAATGCTGAGGTGCTGCAACTTGTCTCCGGAGGAACGCTTGAGTAGAGAAATAGAAAAAGAGCTTAGAAGGGACCAACAAAAATTGAAAAAGGAGGTGAAGCTGCTGCTTTTAGGTAAGATTTCAGAAATAATCTCGATCAGTTTTCAGACATTTTGCCGTGGCCTGGCTTTAAGCTCACATTAATGAATCAGACACTGTTTTTATTGCTAATTGGATACATTCTGTAAATGTCTATGCATATTTTTCATTTGATCTTAACATAAGTTGCCAGTTTCTCAACCCTCAATTGCTATATCTACCTAGACCCATGTTTATCTGTTGATAACCTCTTTACACACACACACACACGTATACACACACACACACTTTTGTGTGTGTTTTAGGCAGCTGACAGAGCATCAAGTTTAGATTCATCAATGTTTTCTGGCTTGGGGGTTTCCTGTGGTGCATTTTGTCAAAAGTTTTTGTCTTTGAAACATGAACCTGCCTCCTGCTGCCTGAATTTGGACACTTTTTATTTTATTTTTATTATTCTAGTTTTAGTGTCAACATCTGCTGACATTACTGAACAGACATTGTTTGCATATTTTCTAAAGACATGGAAGTGGGTTGCCTCAAGTTCAAAGAAATTTGCTGTTTGCATTTGGATTGTGACATCACATCATATGCAGATTAGGCAAAACAACATGACCACCTGTCTGATAGTGCCCTCCCTTTCCCTTCCAAAACAACTCTGGCCCACTCAACTTCATTTCACTTCACTTTCTTTTTGATGGTAAGATGGATTTTGCCAAATAGAATCCAGGAAGAAAAAAAAATCGTTAGAGACTGCAAAAGTCTCTGACGACCTTTGACACACATTGAAATGACTCAGTAAAAGCCTATTTCTAAATCAAATCGAGAATCTTTGGTGAGAGTTGAAAATTGTTGTTTCCATTTAATCTGACTGAGTTGGCAGGATTTCCGTCTTTTTGTACATTCTACACCTGCAGTTTTTGCTTGAGACGAAACCGTCCATCTTTACTTTAGATAAATCCAACATATAATAAAACATCGTTGCTTTTTCCCCCCCTAAATTAAGTCCAGTAGTGATGTATTGATGTCATTTCCTTTGCCGTAAATTTCATTCTTTGCTTTGCTTTTAATACTTTGGACGTTTTCCTAGGTACCGGTGAAAGCGGGAAGAGCACCTTCATCAAGCAGATGAGGATCATCCATGGCAGTGGATACAGTGAATCTGAAAGGAAAGGTTTTATCAAGCTGGTGTGTCAGAACATCATCACAGCCGTCCAGGCTCTGATTGAGGCCATGGAGACTCTGAAGATCGACTACCTTGATGACGAAAATATCGTAAGAGACTTCTCTTAATGTTCCTTCTGATCTTCTTCTTTTGTTGGACAAAGAACAAGAGAAAATGACAGAAAAAGTGACTCAGGAAAAAATAAATCTAGCAATTTGTTACAAATTGTCGGAGTATTTTCCATCACTGATAGACAGGATGCCGTCTCCTTACAGAGATTACTCACGAACGGTTGTGTTACTGCTGCTGGTGTTTCATAATTTAAACTCTTCAGTGGTGATGCAGGCTATCATTACATCCATATTTATCTTTCCTGAGAAAATCCATTTCACATCTTCCTTTTATATTATTTCCAAATAATTGGCAGAGGTGAAACAATTTGACTGAAAGAAAATTACTTTTCTTTTTATCAAGAAGTTAACATTAACCTCTGTCAGCATCACAACAAAACGGATAGACAATGATTATCCTTTATTCAACTTGTTTAATCTCTTTTCTTTTTCGTTTATTCACCCCCATTCAAAACTTTGTAGGATCTTTATGATAAAATCTGAATTACTTGTGATTGCAAAAGCTTTGTTAGGTAATTTACATTAATTCAAACCATGCATTGCTGATATTTGGGCAAATTCAAGATTACTGTTAAATGTACCGAGAGGAAAAAATGAATTAGTTCAACTGTTTAATCGACTCCAGTGCATTCTTTTTAAAAATATTTTACTGCCATGTAGAGACTTCAGGTCAATTCTTGACTTTAAACATAGATTGTGAATTTAAAAAAAAACTTCTTCTTTGTGCTTGGCATGCAGCCAGGCAGTCACACTCACATTGTGTCATCTGTTATCTTGTGGGGATGTATTATTGAGCAAATGTATGTTTTTGGCCATGTTTAAAACTTAGTATAAAGTGATATAATATATAAAGTTTAAAGCTTTTGAAAAACGATACCTGCTTCATCAGTCTGCTGACATTTCTAGTACTGATGCTGCCCCCCGTAGCAGATCCCAGCAGGATATACATACCTCCCAATACCAAGGATGGAAAAGGTTCTCCAGAATTTTTCCACAAACGTCAATGTTTTTCAGTGCATTAGATTATGCTTATCACCTTTTTGTACAAGTCAATTAAGTTATTCAGATCCACACTTTAATTCTCAATAACCTCTTCCTCTTCCCGGTCGGTGACGTGTCTGGGCAGAGATATTTCTTAAGGATTCTACAAATTATCATTTAAAGTTCTGGACCCAAAATTTAATCCTTTTTTTTTAATCTTACAAATTTTCAAGGAACATACTGAAGTTGAAAAATTAAAAAGAAGCATCAGCTGTGCAGTACATAGGATTACCATTTTACAGTTAATCTGTTAACATGTTCATCACTCTGCTTAAGAGTGAGGCTCAGTTGAACATCTTTACAACATTTTTTCAGTGGATTTCGAAGGTTTAATCTAAAAAAAAATGGTTTCAGTTGACTCAGTTCTGGATGTCGTTTTGTTTGTTTGTTTCAGAGCTATGCAGACAAACTGAGCCCAGTGGATTCCACCGAGGTGTATAGGTTAGATTTCTGGCAGGTGGATGCAATTAAGCGAGTATGGAGTGACCTCGGGGTGCAAAAGTGTTATGACCGGAAGAGGGAGTTCCAGCTGTCAGACTCTGCTAAATAGTGAGCTCTTTTTCAGTTTTACAGTACTCTTTAGCATTTATGAGATGTAGGATTGATTCTGTGTCATTTTTGTTGTGTACGTATATATTTAATTTTACAGTAGGATTCTTTAAAATACACCTACAAGTGTATTTTAAAGTGACAGCTCAAACACCCTAATTCTTTTTGTGACAAAACAAGTTTATGAAGATTGATTAGTTGATAACAAGAATAAACATAATAAATCACTGATCTTGACTGTGTTGATTGACTATTATCACATTCAAATGTATGCAATTGACTTTGATTCTGCCTATATGATTGACTTTTTTTTCTCTTTTTGTAAAGTGCCTTGAGATTATATTTGTTGTGAATTGGCACTGTGTGAATATATTGATTTGAACTGATGCAACATCTGAAAGCTAATGATAAGACATAGTGAAGAAAGTTAGAATAAAGACTGTTTTTATATCAAGTGTGCATAAATGGTTTCGTCAAGTTGCCTTTATAAATGAGCTTGAACTACGTTCTGCTTTAGATTGTCATGTCAGCAAATTTTATTATTTAATTGTATTACTTTCTTTTCTTACTTCTTAGTTATTTGAGTGACATAGACCGAATCACGGCCCCAGATTACGTTCCCACTCTGCAGGACATCTTGAGGGTCAGGGTTCCCACCACGGGCATTATAGAATACCCGTTTCCCATGAAATCAGTCATATTCAGGTAAGATCCACTCTTTAAGGAAAAGGAAATATATATATATATGCAAGTTATGAAGTTAATATATTTAAAAGCGACATTTCTTTGTTTTCAGGATGGTGGATGTCGGTGGCCAGCGTTCACAAAGGAAGAAGTGGATCCACTGTTTTGAAAACGTCACCTCCATCATATTCCTGGCAGCCCTCAACGAATACGATCAAGTCCTTTATGAGAGTCAGACAGCTGTACGTTCTGATCCAATGGTGTCTCTATCCTTTTTCTATGGTTTTGCAGCTTTAAATGGGTTCGTTTTTAAGTTTTGTTGTAATTTCTGCCTTTTTAGAACCGACTGATGGAGAGCCTCGCCCTGTTCAAGACTCTCATTTCATCCAATTGGTTTAAGAAGTCCTCCACTATCCTGTTTCTGAACAAAACGGACCTGCTGCAGGAGAAAATCAAAACGTCACATCTGGCAACTTACTTCCCAAAGTACAACGGTAAATTATGGGATTGCTCTACATTTCTACAGTGTAGACCCGTGTTTTTATCTGTTATTCTGAATTTCAGTCAAAATTAAAACAAGTCCAACAAATAATACAACACAAATAAATGTATGAGTTATATGCTATTATTGTTTACAAAAAACATCCAGGGATGAAGCACAATTTAATAAGTAACTAATAACTGTTCTGGTTGATTACAAATGAATGAAAATGAGATTGGAAATGACATTATTATAATATTATTATTTCATGATATGCTAGTTAAATTCATAGATTTCAGTGTTTTTTTACTAGTGTCATTATCTTGTGACATATAAATAAATCAAACTACCACAGGAAAAAAAAAATCTTATTTCACAGTCAGTCTCAAAATGATGAAAATGTATAAAATATTAATGTCATTACTGATGCATCTGTTCACCCGCTCAGCACAATTTTAATTCTCCAAGATCCCAGTCGACACAGGAAGCAGTGAGATTATAACACTCACTGTTATAATCCAACCAACATTTATTGATTTTACATTGATTTGTACAGAAAACCCTTTAAGGGACAAACTCTTACTGTCAACTTGTGTTCACAAAATTGATCAAGTAAAATAATGAAATGCAGATAATGTAATACAGAAGACATGTGTGTGCTGAATCAATGACTTAGTAAGCAAAGTGAAAGAAAACACTACTTCTGCAATGACAGTAGATCAAGGTAAAAATAATTATCTCTTTAAACACATCTGAAAGTCACATATTGAGACTTCATGTGATTTATACTCTTCCCAGGTCGAATACATAATATAATTCGACATTCTGTGTTGGTTTCATGATTTATAAGTGCTACGTTATTCGTGCTGATTCTGACCGCTCTCATTCTCACAGGGCCTCAATGCGATGCTGAATCGGCAAAACACTTCATCCATCAGATGTACATCAAGCGTCACAAAGAGCAGGACAAACCCCTCTACACACACTTCACCTGCGCCACCGACACCGAAAACATCCGCTTTGTCTTCAGATCAGTGGAAGACACGATCTTACAAGAGCATTTGAAACATTTGGGAGTTTTATGAGCCAGAGCCAAAAGTTGTAATGCTTCACAGAGAAGAACATCCATGCTGTCTTCAAACCAGTCAAAAACCAATTTTCCTTCAACTGCTGCCTTTTTTAAGCCCCAGAATGAAAGGGCTTGTTGGTTATTTGGATCATAACGTCCTGGGGATGATTACATATTCCAGAAATTTCAATGAATATTTTATTGAGGAAGAATGCCACATGTCCTGGCCTACAGCTTTGAGAGGCGGAAATTAAAAATAGCTCTGCAAGCATTAGATTACACTGATGCTAATGTTAATGTGTTCAGTGAAATAAGTAGTTTTGCTCCCATTGTCTTCATTACATGTTTTAAATTGTGTTAAAGTATATCTGTTTGACACTTTTAGATTGTACATTTCAAACAATACACTCTTTATGTTTTAACACGATTCAATTAAAAGACTGTTCAGAAGCTGTTCTAGCTGCTACATTTGGAAGAAATATAGATTTTGTCTTTTATTTGCCTGTGTTATTTTTTCTCTCCGTCCATTAGAGTGTAAATATGAAAGCACATACAACGACAAGACTGCGTGCAGTTTATCATAACTTTGTTATTGTTTTTCTTTATATCTTTGCCAGATTTAGATTTAAATTATTACTTTTTTGTCTGATATGAAATGAGATTGTTTAATAAAACATAAAATAAATTTGGGGCAATGTTTTTATTTACAATCTAATTTATAAAAAAAAAAGGTCATGTCTATAAGTGTAATAAAAAGTATATTCCCTTCTCAGTCGTCAATGGAAAAAATTTAACTGGCATTACAGCATTTCTAATTATTTAAATTATTTCTGACCAGCTTTACCACTGGTAGGTAATATATTTATTTGTTATGACAACCTCCAAGTCTTTGAAGTTGGAAGGCCTCCGTGCCATCACCCTTATCACTGTTGACTCCCTTGACAGATTCAAGTCAGGACTTTTTCTATTAGTCTAAAATGGATTTGATGTTGTTTCAGAAAAAAGGAATTGACTTTTTTGTAGAGAAGGTTTTCGTGATACCTCTCTTCTTTAATCTGGATTACTTGTGATTTTACAGTTATGGAAAACCCTCCCAGGAAAGTTCAACAAAGCCGCTTTGACAAAAGAAAAGAAAAGAACAACATGTCTTCGTTGGCATTAAGCACAGTGTGAATCACTCCAGGGTGTGCCCAAATCGTTAAAAAAAAAAGTATCTTTCCAGCCGTGTTCACTTTTGGCCAAAGACAAGTTATGAAGCTGTCTCACACAAGGAAGACCATCTGAAAACTATTGCTTATTTTTTTTTTTTAATAAAAATAAAAAATAAACATTCTATGTCAAGATATTTCTCCTGTATTGTTTAGAGAACAACTCCACCTAAGAGTGGAGTTGTCCATGACGTCAAAGCTCTTCATTCACAGCCTGCCTCCTGCACAGCAGGTATGTAAAGTTTACCGGCTTGAGGAAGAATGACTAACACGTTGACAATCCGCCTGTCCTGAGACATACAGGTTTACCTGGCAGGCATGAAAAACTCCACAGCAAACACGTTTCACCCATTCCAGTCGGCAGCGGCAGCGTATCTGAAAAGCAGCCAGTGAATTTGGACAACAATGGACTGTTGCTATGTGTCTCCCGAGGAAAAAGAAAGCCAGAGAATATCCAGAGAAATAGACAGGCAACTAAGGAAAGAGAAAGAAAATAATAAGGAGCTGAAGCTGCTGCTTTTAGGTAAGATTTCTGAAATGTCTTTTGTGTGTTCCCTCTTTGGTGACTCCATGTGATGAAGGTGAGTCTTTAGGTCTCTGGGTTTTTATTGGCGGAAATGGTATTCAGCTGTTTTAGTTTCTTTTCCTCTTTCCTCAGGATCCGTCCTTCCTAGTTTCTTCTGTATAATTGTTGTCAAGATTTGAGTTGTAGAAATGGACTTTTTTAAACAAAGAGTAGCTGATGGACACTGCCTTGAGAAAATATTCGAATCCCTCACACTTTCCCACATTTTGTGCCAAATAAAAATGTGAGCACATTTTATTGTATTTCATGTTATAACCCAAAAAACTGAAAATATTGACACAAATATCAATAATTCTTTTGACAACCTGGAGATAGACTTGTTTCATTTAATGACTTATTAGTCAACAGAGTCCACATCTGAGTCCTTTAATGTCAATATAAATCCAGCTATTATGTGAAGACCTTTATTTTACACTGGTAAGAAAAAAAAAAAAAACATCATGTGGAACAAGAACTGTACCAGACAGGTCAGGAATATAGTTGCAGAAAAAATTAAGACAGGGTTAGCTTTTAAAGCAATATCCCAACGTTTCTCAGACCACATTTAATTCACAAACAGAGAAGAGTAACATGAAACTGTTGTGTAATCTTGACATTGCTGCTTGCCTAAACTGACAGGCCTGGAAAGGAGAGACAGAATGCCGAGAGATCGACGATAATTTTGGAGGAGACGTAGAGATCCGCAACGCAGATGGCAGGCTCTGCTGGCATGGCAATTAATTTGCACTTTGTCAAAAAGCCGTGTAGGAGACCTGGTGTAGGGAAAAACCAAAGCTTATCACTTGGACCTACATGCAGAGCCACAAATGTGGTCAGAAACGAACACAGGATGTCCCGCAGAACACTGAAACATGGTGCCAGCATCTTGCCATCAGGCTGTCTAAATGATGTGAACAAAAGACTTAAGTGTCTCATTCCTAAATCTGAAATGTAGACAACAGATAACGCTGGCGACATGTTGACGTACTGACAGGACAAAGCTAATTGTGTAAGATTTATAAAACAGGTCAAATAGTTTTCCAAAACTTCCACTGGTATTTCAGCGCTTGCTGTATTTTGTAAATTTTAAAATCAAAACATCTGTGTTTGCAATGTAGAACGCAACATAACAGTATGACAAGAGGCTGATTACTATAATAGTAGAAACATTTTTTTCCATGTACTACTGCAAAAAAAGTCCACCCTTATTTGATATTTAAAATGGAAACTCCTCTTTACATCACATGCTACAATTTTAGGCACGTTTGTTGCATGTTTATGTTTTTCAATCTGATTTTTTTATTGTCTTTACTCTGCTTTTCATCTCATTTATTCTAATTACTTAGGAACTGGTGAAAGCGGGAAGAGCACCTTCATCAAGCAGATGAGGATCATCCATGGCAACGGCTACAGCGAATCTGACAGGAAAGGTTTTATCAAGCTGGTGTGTCAGAACATCATCACAGCCATCCAGGCTCTGATTGAGGCCATGGAGACTCTGAAGATCGACTATCTTGATGAAATGAATATCGTAAGAACCTGTGTACTTTTTTTGTGTGTCGTTAGCAAAACAAACAAGAAACAATATCCTGAAATTCTTGTTGAAAAGCATATGATTGCATCAAAATATGTCTGTGGATTTTTATCACTGGGAAGCTGGAGTCTCTTGGTAGCATTTGCCTTCGTATGGCCAGGTCGTTGCCTCGTCCACAGTTTAAACTGTTCAAAAATGCATATGTATGTGAGAAAGAAAATAATAAATACATTTATAAATAAACATATCAATCAATCCTACCAGTGCTAACCTACATGAGGTCAATTTGAGGTCAGTTTTGATCCTCTTATTTCCTTCCATCCTGCCAGTGCATCTGGGAGTTCCCGTTTGTTTTCTTGTCTTGTTCTTAAAACTATTGCACAGTCAAAAGCCGTCTGTAATACAATACAACGTTACTTTAGTTGAACAAATCTCTTCGAGATCCTAAAGGCACACGAACACTTCTGCACAGCTGACACACAATCCAAAAGTTTACTTGGTTCTGGGGAGGCCTGATGGTTCGGCGTTGATCTGGCTGACTGATACGACAAGCAGGTTCAAACATCATCATTCAAACTCATTGTGTGGCAGAACAAAATACCCCCCATGCTCATCAATGTTATATGAGATGCAGACAGTTATTTCCCACTGTCAATGCATCACACTAACATGATTATTTTTAGCTTCTGTTGTTTTAAAGTAGCGGATGAAAATCTGATTGGCTCATTTGCTTCCACCACTCCAAAGATCTATTTGCTTTTATGACAAGCTTACGGTTGCAGGAATTTTTTTTTTCTGTGGCCTGCATTGAATTTTTTTTTTTTTAACCAAGTATAACTTCACAGAATCTCACTGAGAAGATTCTGAACTAATCCTCTATGCAACCTGAGGCAACGGGTCTGTTTATTTCCAGGACTGACAGGATTCCTCTAATGATACGCCATCAATCTACCAGCCAGCATAAACTTTTACATTTAACATTATTTAAGAGCTCTTTTTAGTTGACTCTCTCGTGAATGTTTTGTTTTTGTTGTGTTTTGCTTTAGCGCTATGCTGAAAAACTGAAAGAAGTGGAGGAAATTCAGGTGAAAACACTGGAGCCCTGGCAGGTGGACGCCATTAAGCGAGTGTGGAGTGACCAAGGAGTACAGCAGTGTTACGACAGGAGGCGAGAGTTCCAGCTGTCAGACTCTGCCAAATAGTAAACCTGTTTTCTCCCCACTTTTCATGTCAGATTTCAGTGTTACAAAGTTGCTGTCCTGTTTTTCCAATATCACAAAATAATCTGACCTTCGGTTTCCTATTGTTTGGTTAATTTAAAATTCAAGATTTTTTTTTTTTTTGTCTCTTATGCACATCTGTACATCAAAAATCATATTTTTCCACCCCAGGCTGGTACAAATAATCATACAGAAACACACAAATAAGATATAATTATACAAATTGGGAAGAACTTCACAAGTGATTAAATTAAAAAATCAAGTGACAGGATGAATGGTTGGGTCTGTGACTCCTGTGAAATTAAAGACTCTATGAATGTGAATTTTCTGGCCAACAGTTTATCATAATTAAGAGTGTATTTTCTTACTTTTATTTATTATAGGTTTTCAAAAACAAGAGAACAAGCAGTCATTGGGACAGAGAAATAACATGAGATTACATAAACAAGAACACAATTATTTGCTTTTCACTACTTTTTGAAAACGAGTAGGAAGAAGTGAACACAGTAACACTTTACATGCATAAGACTTACAGAATGACGCTTCATGACAACAATCATAGACACGACTCTTTCATATATATATATATATATATATGTTGTGTGTGTGTGTGTGTGTATATACTTATTTATTTATTTTTTCTTTTTAGTTATCTGAGTGATATGGACAGGATCACTGCCCCAGATTACGTTCCCACTCTGCAGGACATCTTAAGGGTCAGGGTTCCCACCTCGGGGATCATAGAGTACCTATTTGACATGAAGCAAGCCATCTTCAGGTATGATTTTATATTGGTTTGATTAGCTGGAAGCCATACTGTTAACAGAAAATGTATCTGTAAACACACGTCCTTTAATATGGGAACAAAAAAAAATGTCTTCTCTAGTGATTACAGTTTTTTTTTTTAAATTTAACTTTTTGAAGGAAATCAATAAAATGAGTGACTAAATAAAATCGTTGCTGTTCATATAGGATGGTGGATGTGGGTGGCCAGCGCTCCCAAAGGAAGAAATGGATCCATTCCTTTGAAAACGTCACCTCCATCATATTCCTGGCAGCCCTCAACGAATACGATCAAGTCCTTTATGAGAGTCAGACAGATGTACGTTTGAATCCCCCAGAGTCCCGAGTGCAGATTATTTGACCTCCAGTTTCAAAACAATTAAATATTAAAATTAGGCACAACTCTCCTGTTTGCTTTCTAGAACCGGCTGAAGGAGAGCCTCGCCCTGTTCAAGACAATCGTCTCATCCACGTGGTTTCAGGAGTCGTCCACCATCCTCTTTTTGAATAAGACAGACTTGCTGGAAGACAAAATCAGAACATCTGATTTGGGGACATACTTCCCAGAGTACAAAGGTAAATTATACATATTTCTATTCTGACTGTAAAATCAAACTCTTCAGTTATATATTATACAAAAGGTCCAGTTTTCTCTCTGTTCCATCATTTCTGTAATGACTTGTCTATTTCCTCTTTGCATCTTCCTGAGCCTCATTTGTGATGCTGTATTTACATTTACATTTTTGTATGCTGTGCATTTTTATTTCGTGACATGAAACAGATTTGCACTGGCAAATAAGAAATCCTTCCTTTCGCTCTCTGTCCAAAAATGTGTTATAAGCGGAGACATAGCATTTATACCATCTAAGCAGTGAATGCAGCAGTGTTCACATTTTCTGAGTTTTCTTCAGAACATTTGTTGTAGATTTGATGGAAATCGACTCAACAAACAGCGCTGTTTAAGTCATGCTCTTTCTCTTTTGTAGGGCCTTCCCATGATGCAGAATCTGCAAAAAAGTTTATTGAGAAGATGTACAAAAACCTCCACAAAGATCGACATAAACCCCTCTACACACACTTCACCTGTGCCACAGACACAGAAAACATCAAGGTTGTCTTCAGATCAGTCAAAGACACAATCTTTATGGATAACATGGAATTTTTAAACCTTTAATAATGAAGCAGAGAGTTGTTGTTTTTTTTTCTGTAACCACAGGTTCCAGCAACAGCACTGAATATTTGGTTGGTTTTATGGTTTTCATTTTGAAAAATGAGAGAAATTCAGAAACAGCTGAGCCAGCGAGACAATCTACGCTGGCTTTAAATAATGTTTTATTGGAACATCTGCATATTTATTGTTGTCCAGTGTCAAATGTACTATGGCAAGAAGTAATATATGTACAGTACAGCCATTTATTTATTATGCCCACTTGGAAATTATGCGCGGTTTATAGTATGACACACTCTTTAACTCACTTGAATCAGAAGACGTCAGAAGATGTCTTCTTTGAATGAAGAATGCCACAAATCCTGCTCTGCAGCTTTGTAAGACTGACTGCAGGCACCATAAGCAAAAAAAAAAGAATTTATTTTCGTTTTGATTTCACAATGGTGATGACACAATGTTTTACGGTAAAAAACAAGATAAAGAAAAAGTACCTTTTTGTTCCCACTGTCTCCAAATCGTGCTTGTGGCAAAACCTAACGTGTCCTTCGTTGCACAGTTTGAATTAAAATGTGTGTTGTCACTTTAAATTGTACATAATTAAAAGCCTTGATTTTTATTTGACTTTAGTTTCATTTGTTTTTGGAAAAAAAAACAGTGTAAACCCACTTCATTTAGAATAATCACCTACACTTTATTCTTTTCTCCACCTTGCCCTTTTGTATTGAAACAAAAAAAAAAAAAGTTGTTGATTAAAGTATGAATGTGAAAGCAAATCCACATGACAAACCCTTTCAGCTGGGACCCGCCTCTTGCAGAGCAGGAATGTAAAATGTACCTGAACTGGATCCTGTATGGGGAAGAATGGCAGCAGAAACTCAGCAACAATGTGCTGGTTTCAGGGAAAAGATTTCCCTGACACGTCTGACAACATCAGATCACATTTATCTCCGACCGCTGTGGCACTCTCCGGCAAAGAGAAGCTGCTAATCTTGGAAGACAATGGACGGGTGCTGCTTGTCTCCTGAAGAACAAGACGGCCGGAGGATATCCAGAGAAATAGAGAAACAACTTAAACGGGATAAACTAAACCTTAAACGGGAATTGAAGTTGCTGCTTTTAGGTGAGAGCTAAGAAAATGATGGATTCTCCTTCTGATTATGCTTAAGAAGTTTTTAGTCTTCTTGACTGCTATTCTTAAATTAGAAAAAATAAAATTATATATATATATTTCACTTAGCTTTTAAGTAATTAAGGAATCTTAGAATTTAA